CTCTATGTTTCTCTGCCTCAAAAAAGCCAGCAGTTGATCATCCATTGCTACGTGAACACACATGGTAAACAACAATTAGGACAATTTTACTGTCACTTTACTTTACATTTCTTTTATAAACAAGCAGCATTAGCTCGCTAGTATTTAAGATAGCATTTTTTTTTTTTTTTTATTTAGCTATAGCTACTACACAATCCTGGATTTTATATAAGTCTACATTTACATAAACATACATTTGAGTAGGGAACAATACACGTTGTCAAAAATGAATGAAAAAACGTATGTCTTATAAATTATGATATATCTTACCTTTATTTGTGTCCCCTGAAGTTCGAGGTCCAGCTAGCCATGAACGAAGCGCCAAATCAACTGAACACCACGCCCTGTTTTGTTTAATTGGCGGCATTTTCTTAATTCGTGGGAACGATTTAGTTAAAACGTGCGAACGATATATCTAAAACGTGCGAACGGTATAGCTAAAACGTGCGAACGATATAGCTAAAACATGCGAACGATATAGCTAAAACGTGCGAACGAGTTAGTTAAAACGTGGGAACGAGTTAGCTAAAGTGTGGGAACGAATTATATATTGTGGGAACGAAATAGTAATTTGAGGCCACGATTTAATATCTTTTTTCGCGTAGGTCATCGGGCGGGCTCCGTAATTTACTGATTTATTTATTTATAATCAGGAATCAGAAACTCATCACTAGATAAAATTGGCATTTGTCCGTGTGTTCTATCACCCACTTTAGCACCAACTACCTTAAAGGGCCCATTATTATACTAATTTCTGATCTATTATGAGTGTGTTTACATGCACATCAGTATCCCATTTATTAGCCATATCCCGGTTATGTCAGTATTCGGGATACTGTGTATACATGCCTGTTGAGAAATTGGGATACTCATATCCCTGTATACAAGATCAAATGTAGTATCTCAGTTTCTTGACATAATCTTACAAATGCGCAAGTGCAAAAAATAACTTAATTTCATTTAATAAACCAGGAAAAATACAAACAGCCATGAGCTCGTTTAGCAGAGGAAGCTCAGGAGGCTTAATTACCAGCGATAAGGAACTATAAGGTATCCCACAATCCCCTGCACAGATCAAACTGAACGGATTCTTCATTAAAATCTTCTGCATAAATAAACTCAACTTTACATTATATAAACTGTTACAACCCAGTGCTAGGGACAAAGGAAAGTAACACAAACCAGATATGATGTAAAGTAAACATTTTTTATAAAGTGATGTGGGTAAGTACTAGGGATGGGCATTCGATGAAATTTCCTTAATCGATCGTCGGAAGAATTAACGATCGATTATCGATTAATCATTAACGTTTTTATATTAAAATGATCATCATTATTATTACTATCTGCACTACTAATGTGCATAAATAAATTCAACTTTACGACATATAAACCGTAACGACTCTAGAGCCACATCAGCCCGTTTGAAATTATAATGTGTTTAATTCAGTTTTGTTCAACTCTCACAGAAACGAAACTTAAAACCACATCGCTAATTTGCAGAAACTAAGCGAAGATAAAACTACAGCTCTTGTGTCGCTGATGCGGTCAATTTCTGTTGGATTAAAAGACATGACTCAGTGGAATACAGGTTAGTGTGACCAGATTTGCGTTTGTCAAAACCAGGACACTGTACGGGGGGAGGGAGGTGGGGACTCGTCATCGACATTGCGCGACTCTCACCTGGTAAAACTTTTTCCCACTGGACACTGAAACATATGTTCCTGCTTTGTACACTGTGCACATGGACTCACACTTGTCCCGAACGCAACGCAAATTTCTTGTACAAATCATCGTTAAATACACATTTGTGCTTCGGCACGCTGCAGACTGACCGAATGTTTGTGTTTGCTCGCTCCTTCTGATGCAGAGAGACACATGTACGGACCCCTGATTGGTCACACTACGCACAGCAACCTACAAGCGGTTTGTCGATTAAAATTAACGTAATCGATGAAATTCTTAATGATCAATTATCGATTAATCGATTAATCATGCCCATCCCTAGTAAGTACAATTAACAAAATAAACGTTTTACATTTGAAAAAAAATCAGAATTCCCCAAAGTTAACTAAACCACTCCTAAACTAAGGTAGCTAACGGCAACAAAAAAAACAACTGCCCAAGGGCCGAGCCAAACTGGCAAAACTAAAATGATAGTAATATAAACACACTTTACGATATCACAGAGAGACCACTAGCTAACATGTATCGATGTGAGAGACGAACTGAAACTGTCATCCAGCCGCCAGGAGGGACAGGCACACAGCACTTTTATTGGTCGAGATGATTGATGTGTAGGGAAGGGACTGGAGGAACGGGACGTCAATCCTCCAACCACAGCACAAGGGGTGTCGGATCCAGCCCACAGCATCGGAACCACGGTCCACCAGTCAGATACCTGGCAGCACACAGGACATGCAAATACGGAAGATACATGCGGTAATACAAACGGAGAGCGCCAGGCGGTGCAGAGCCGGAGACAGGCCGCGAGCCGTAACATAAACCATAACCACAACAGAGCTACATCACCCCGTTTGATAATGTCATTCAGCATGGCACACATTTATTTACGTTTTACAGAAACAAAACTTAAAACCGCATAGCTCATTTACCTGTAAACTGTTAGCACTGAAAAAAGTTTCTATCAGACTAAAGGACACACCTGGAATATGAGTGTTCCTTCTGTGACAGAGGATGTGCTGATGATGGTGAGTCTGTTCTGTGCGTATATCGTATAGGAGATGGTTCATGTTTAACTTTTCAGCGATCATACGTTTGCAGGTTTAGCACAGTCATTTCAGGTATGTATTTAATTATTTTGGGCGAGTAAAGATTTACATTCATATACAATGGAACATATAACACAAGTGAAATCATAATAATTTTTATTTTAAAAAAGCCTAAAAATGAGTGAGAAAAAGAAAACTTATTTAATCCCACACCCCCTCTTCTAATCTAACGCTGTGAGCTTTTTTTGTGTGTTTTTCAGATATTTTGCATTAAACTATATGAACTATTTACAAGTGCAGACAAGAGTCACTGTTATACAGTAGCTTGGTATTATAACATGAGCAGACCAACAGTGGTATTGTTAAGGATACAGACAATGGTAACACACAACAGATACAAGTCATGTAATGGACGGCACAAACCAGCAATGGTAAAGACACAACATAAACCAGCGCTACAGAAGGAAGTATTGATCTAATATTATGTCCCACTCTCCATATACTGTGACCAGACCATATGTTTATATAACAATTTGAATTTATGGATAGTTTGTCGTTGCTTGAGACGTGTATCCAGACTGTTCCAGAGTTTTACACCACATATAGACACACAGAAACTTTTACAGGTAGTTCGAACATTGGGCAATTTGAAATTTCCGTACCCTCTAAAATGATAAGTTCTTTCTCTTATTTTGAACAAGCTTTGAATATTACGTGGTAGTAAATTATTGCATGTGCTGAATAAAATTACTAGTGTATAATATTTTACAAGATCAGGAATCTTTAGGAGGTTGAATTGAATAAAAAGGTTATGGGTGTGTTCACTCATGTATGGTCACTTTATTTATTTTGGCTGTTGTTGTGATGAAAAGACTGAAAAGTATTTGTCTTTTGGATGCATGCAGACTCAACTTTATGTTGCAGTAACCAGGATAGTGTGGCATTTATACACAGTATCCAGGTATATCTATATCTATCTATCTATCTATCTATCTATCTATCTATCTATCTATATCTATATATATATATCTATATATATATATATATATCTATATATATATATATATATATATATATATATATATATATATAATATATCGGAATATATCAGCTACAATATCCTGGTTTCTCATAAGTGGGATACTGGCTTATTGGGGATACTGAAACCGAAATACAGTGTATACATGCACCATGACGGAACCAGGATACTCAAAAAACTTGATCATAACCTGGATACTGATGTGCATGTAAACGCACACATTCACTCATTTTTAACACACACATTTGCATATTTAGGAGGAGGTCTTCTCCACAGAAAAATACTCCACCTTATGATGTTATATAGTACTACAGGAAGTGCTCCATTGTGTTTTTAAACTCTACACACTTTCCCTTGAATCTTTTGGGTAATTTCAGCCCTGGAATTGAACAAAACGTAAAAGGGAGTTGTTATCTTGAAAACTACCACTACATGACATCACAAAGTAAAACAGGGCATTTTGAGCTATGGAGATGTAGACAGACAAATAATACCACAAACATGTGTGAATGAAAACAACACAACTCTAGGTCTGTTTTTGATGATCAAACAACATTCTAACATGTCTTAAAGCTCACAGGAGTCTATTTTGTGTAATACAGGACCTTAAACAGTGAGACTATGTTTAAACTTAAAGAGCCCATCTCATGCAAAATCAACTTTTCAGAGCTTTCTACCTTCTAAGAGTGATGTGTGGGCCTTGTATATGTGGCTGAAGTGTTTTTTAGATTGATTTGGCGGTTTTTTAACAATTGCAGTGTATTTCTGCCACCCTCCCATGAGACAACGAACTAAGGCTGCTACAACAATGACGCGGCAGCTACACCTATGACGCGTTTGACGTAGCAGAAAGCGCTTTGCCTGTCGCCTGTGTACCCCTCCCTCCCTGAGATGGGTGGAGGAAGGGCGGCTCACTCGTTGCCTATGTCATGTTTGGAGGGCGGAGCCTGTGCTTTCTCAGGACGGGCGGGGGGAGGAGCAATAACCGGCCTTTCATAGTTCCTGGTCTGTGACTGTCTCCAAGAAATCAGTAAGATTTCAGAACTATTGTGTAATGAATGATCCAAAACCCAAATTGTGCATGTATATGTGAAGAAAATACAATGTGAAAAGAGTTATTTTGCATGAGATGGACACTTTAATATATTCTAATGATCCTGGACGTTTAACATACAACTAGATTTTCTTACCTTGATGTCTGGAGGTGGGACCACGATGACTTTTGCATTTTTTATAGATGAACACCAAAACTATCAGCAGCAACGGCAGAGCAGCTAGACCAGAGACCAGTGTCCATGTAGACCGTGTTGCACCTGAAAAATCATGGACAGAAGTGATGGAGCTAGTCCCTGAAGTAAAATAAATTAAGGTTTCTGTCATTCTAACAGCATGTATTCAGTTTTTTTTTGTAGTTGAAATCCCAATTTATACAATACTGTCACTGTTAAATTAACGTCTAACAATAAATACAGTATGTGTCCCAGTTTTCCACATGAGTATGGACCTTCACTTTTAGCTGGGATCATTCTGGGTTTATTAGTGAATGCCGAATCACTTTAAGTGCTGTGAAAAAGTGCCCCCTTCCTGATTTTTTACTTTTCATCATTTAACAAAATTAAATTTTCACTAGCTAGAACCACACCAACAACGACGTAGTATGAAGAAGTTTATTGATAATGTACGAAGCGAGGCAGAGATGGCTGGTTGAGACTCTGGGTGGGGGCTCCGTCTCAATCTTCAGTTGGCCCAACCAGAACGGAACCCCCCTTGTAGGGATCTTATGACTGAAAGATGAACAAAATAGGGGATGGGAGGGTGGGGTCGAGTTGCCGAGACAAACTGGGATGATGGGAAAGGCTGCTACATACAGGCTTCTGGGAAATTGGAGGTGTGGTCGAGGTGAGTTGTGGTTCAGTGGTGAGAGGAGAGGACGGCTGAGGCCTGGTCCTGCTCCTGAATCTCACTTAATCATATTAACTATATTTAAAGGTAACCCAAGGAAACATAAAACAGTTCTGTGGCAATGTTATTTGTTATAAGAAAAATACAATCCAATCCCCTTGTTAAATGATGAGGTAACTGTGATGGATATTATTGTGGAAAGTTCAGTTCCACTCCCAGGCCTATTGCTGCCAGACCTTACAAATCAAGAGATCACTTGAATCCTTGTTTAACAGCAAAATGATCTCGCCAGATATAGGTCCTTCTAAGCAGTGTTGGGAAGGTTACTTTTAAAATGTATTCCCCTACAGATTACAGATTACACACCCCAAAATGTAGTTTGTAACGTAATCCATTAAAGTGAGTAACGTAATCTGATTACTTTGGATTACTTGATATTGTCATGTTTTTTTAAACGACATGAATGTAGCAACCACATCCTGAAAATTCTCGTTTGTTGTCTTCAAATTGTCTGAGCCCAAGTCTCCATGAATAAACAACTGTTGCTGTAGAGAAACAAAGACCACGAGATCTTAATATAAGAGGTTTTGTCTGTTAAAAGACAGAAACAAGATCAGCCTTTCCTTAACCAGATTAAAAAATATTATTGATAGAGAAATTATTTTTTATATGAGATCACCTTAAATTATGTCAACCTACTGTTAGGTGTCATGTTGTTTAGACCTGGTTTAGTCCTGGTTTAGTTCTGGTTTAGTCCTGATTTTTAGACCTGGTTTACTCCTGATTTTAGACCTGGTTTAGACCAGGTCTAGACCAGGTCTTTAGTTCTGGTTTAGTCGTGGTTTAGTCCTAGTTTAAACCTGGTTCAGTCCTGCTTTAGTCCTGGTTTAGTCCTGGGTTAGTCCTGGTTTAGTCCTGGTTTAGTCCTGGTGTTAGTTCTGGTTTAGTCCTGGTTTAGTCCTGGTGTTAGTTCTGGTTTAGTCCTGGTTTAGTCCTGGGTTAGTCCTGGTTTAGTCCTGGTTTAGTCCTGGGTTAGTCCTGGTTTAGTCCTGGTTTAGTCCTGGTTTAGTCCTGGTGTTAGTTCTGGTTTAGTCCTGGTGTTAGTTCTGGTTTAGTCCTGGTGTTAGTTCTGGTTTAGAGGTGCACAGGAGGAAGCGCGGTTTACGCGAGAAAACACGTTCCACACGCGGCGCACGAGACGTCGGTGTCCACGCAGTAACTATAGAAGGAGACTTGGTCCGCGGGTTCTCAGGTTGATGACGATGATGAAGGTGTGTGTTTGTGTGTGTTTGTATGTGTTTGTGTGTGTTTGTATGTGTTTGTGTGTGTTTGTGTGTGTTTGTATGTGTTTGTATGTGTTTGTGTGTGTTTGTATGTGTTTGTGTGTTTGTGTGTGTTTGTATGTGTTTGTGTGTGTTTCTGTGTGTTTGTGTGTGTTTCTGTGTTTGTGTGTGTTTGTGTGTGTTTGTGTGTGTGTGTTTGTATGTGTTTGTGTGTGTTTGTATGTGTTTGTGTGTGTTTGTGTGTGTTTGTGTGTGTGTTTGTGTGTGTTTCTGTGTTTGTGTGTGTTTGTGTGTTTGTATGTGTTTGTGTGTGTTTGTGTGTGTTTGTATGTGTTTGTGTGTGTTTGTGTGTGTTTGTATGTGTTTCTGTGTGTTTGTGTGTGTTTCTGTGTGTTTGTGTGTGTGTGTTTGTGTGTGTGTGTGTGTGTATAGGACAGTAGTGCAGATATTATGAGTCTATGCAGGTTGTTTTCACCAGTGCCAGTAGCTCCTGTTTCACATTTAACTTGTAGGTGATTTTATATATATATATATATTTTTTATATATATCTCACATCGGGAGAAGAATTTCCAAGACACAAATGCGTTTTTACCAATGCACTGCTGCTTCCACTGTGTGACTGACACCGCCAACTTGAACATGACTTTTACATCGCTCTTATTGCCCGCGTTCTGTTTGGGTTTCCGGCAATGAGTGGAATTACCGAAATAAAAAAATAAATAAATGGGATGTAGCACAAAATGTGAAAACAGGAAAATACCGCCTTGTAATCCACTTATTTCAGCAAAGTAACTGTAATCCAATTACCACTCATTGAAACAGTAACTGTAACGGAATACAGTTACTCATAATTTGTACTCTGATTACGTAATGGCGGTACATGTAATCCGTTACTCCCCAACACTGCTTCTAAGTCAGTTCTTAATAGTTCTTGTGTTAAAACGAAGCTCAGATTAAAGTCTAATTGTGACTGAGTAGTGCATTCAGCTAGCATCACACCCCAGGGAATGTTGATGACAAATCACACCAACTGCAACGTATCAGTTGGAGTCTATAATTTAATCAGAGCTGGAGAAAAGGTCTGAAATCTCAGGTGGAATTTGGTGTTTAAGTGTCAGATTGCAGGTCTGTTGACTTGGCCTATGGTTCATATGTCTGTAATTACTAAGCATATGCACAAAGCTTATCTTCTCTGTCAGTATAAATAAGCAAAAGTGAAATAATCTTTTCACAGTAGCTTCAGAAAAAGGTGCCATTATTCAACTTTAGAGATATGAATGTTGTCATTTAAAAAGGACTTCAAACTGTGGGAATAATATTGCAGGTTTGTGGAGCCAGTCCCAAACAAATAATGACAACAGTCAGCATTTGTAGATTTCTCTTTTGGATATTTCTTGCAAAAAAAGTACATTTCTCCTCTAGACCTATAAGGCCCCTGCCCTCCATTTAAGATTATGACATAACATTTAAGATAGAGAAATCCTGTCTCTCACCTCTCACAGCCAGCCACTGCTCCTCCGACTCTCTGTCCTCTGAGGTTTGGCACTTGTAAACTCCTTCGTCTGTTTTGAAAACTTTGTTCAGAGTCAACTTTCCAGAGGAACTGTTCCCGATCATTTCATCGTCTTTGTAGAAAAAAGTCGTGTAGTTTGAAGCGGCCATCTTGTCTCTACAGAACAGAGTCACGTTCTCTCCCTCCAGCACAGGCCGATCAGGAAGCTCCAGGAGCACAGCTGGACAAAACAATCACACTTTAGAAACATCAAATGTGTTCAAATATTAGAACAGTGTCAGGACTCACCTTTAACTTGCAGCAGATTTTCTTTGGTGAACCCCTTTTCAGATACGTTACATTTATAGAACCCCTGATCAGACAGTGAGATGTTGTGGAGGATCATCTCTCCAGTTGAACTTGTGTTCACACGGACACCATCTTTGTAGAAGTCAAACTTTGTGGAGGGTTTTAGGTTTGGGTTTTTAATGCAACGAAGAGTAACATTATCTCCAACCATCACCGGACCAACTGGACTCTCCAGGATTACATCAGCCGCTTTAAAGTAAATAACAAAATGAAAAAAATAAATCATATATTATTCTATTTTTTCTATATTTATTTTGTGTCTAAAATGTTCTGTAGTGAGAGCCGTTATAATAATGTTTTAAAAAAATACCTGTGACTGTGATCAGGACTCCTTCACTCCTCCTTTTGTCGTCACTCTCACACCAGTATTCTCCAGAGTCGGCTGGATACACCATTTCAATGTGGCACGCTCCAAAAGCATCAGTGTTTTTTGTTACAAGAAGTTTTTAGGGTTTTTTTCTCATCCTTCCTCAGCACCCTCCATTGGATCATGTCATTAAAAAATCCCTCACAGGTCACTTTGAGATTGCTGTATTCAAAGTACTGCAGTTGGGATGGAACAATACGAGGGAAAGTACGCTCTGTAGAAGAACAAAGAATCCAGTCAGTGACCACTAAATGTATGTATCTGTTTTAACTATGGGTCACTAATCTATATTTAATGGAGTTGGTTTAAGATGTATTGTTATTTTAGATCAAAACAATGAAATGCAGTGTAGCAACAAAGAACCAAAAACAGCTCAGTTCAGAGTTTAGAGTCTTACCTGATGTTTGTGAAAGGCCGATGTGAGCACACAAGATCAACACCAACACATTCATCACTGAATATAGATACAGACACATCAGAAGGTTTCATTAACATTTTAAAAGAGATTAAATAGTAATTATCAACTCACTCAGAGAGATGGAGGAAGCTGTCAGCTCCATACTGTCTGTCGCTCTGCTCAAAATGAGATGTGTCTCTGTCATAGGTAAAGCTTCCTCTTTACCTGTTTATTTTTGGATCTGAGTTTCGGACTGACATACTTACTGCAACCACATGCACAACTGTGTTACAGAAAAACTTTTGGTGAACATTTACAAACTGGGAATGTGATGATCCTGAGGTCCTGAGTGATGGTGGTGCAGAGGAAGCAGAAACGGTGGTGATGGGGGGTTAAAGATGTTACTGGGTTTCAGATAACATCACAGCATTGAATGAAGTTGTTATTTAATGAAGATAGGGGTGTAAAATTACTTTTAATAATATGAAGATGTTGGCGTTGGGCCTAGACACTGTTATGATCAGGTTTGTTTGCTGTGGCCAAACCTTGTTAAATCCTGATCTCGTCAGATCTCAGAAGCTAAACAGCTCAGCCTGGTTCGTACTTGGATGGGAGACTGTTGCAGGTGTCACAGTGGGACGCTGTTGCAAACCAGTGCTAGGGACAAAGAAAAGTAACACAAACAAGATGTGATGTAATATAAGTGGCTTTTATAAAGTAAACATAAGTAAGTATAATAACAGAAAAGAGTTTTTTCATAAAATAAATCAACTTTCCATATATAACTAAACAATGCCTCTAATTGGTTAAGTATAAATCAAAAGAAAATCCAAATACTCAAATAGCCAAACTAGGAATTACAAAAAAGAATCGATAGGTCAATTGTGACCCCTAGAGTCTCACACAATTCACAGTAGCAATAGGGTGCAATAAACACACGTCTGTCATCGAATGTGGCGAACTGAAACTGACATCCAGCCGCCCAGAGGAACCGGCGCACAGCACTTTTATTGGATGCGGCGATGGGATGTGTAGGAAGGGGACTGGAGGAGCGGGACGTCAATCCTCCAACCAGGCACGACAAACATTGGAGCCATCCCAACAGCGACGGGACCACACCCCACCAATCAGGCGCCAGGTACCACACAGGACATGCAAATACAGAAGACACAAGTGATAAAACAAAAAGGGAGCGCCGCGCGAGATGGTGCCAGGCCGCGAGCTGTAACAGGTGCCAGTGGCCAAAATGTTTTTATTTTAAAGTTGTTCTATGAAAGTGAGTGTTGTTGGTCAAAGGGTTGAGATTCTACGTGATCCTTTTTTTTTTTTTTTGCTATTTTCTCAATAAATCTAAATCTGAACATTAATAACAGACCAATCATGTGTCTTGTTTCCCAGAGGTCAGCTCCTGCTAGAGTTAGCAACACGTTTGATTGACAGCTATTGTACCTTGTCGTAGCTAAACACGACATGTTTCATTTGGCTAAAACTGAACACTCTGAGTGACGTGACACTCCCTCAGTCCACTTACACTCTATGTGACCAAATAACAAACTATGACCCCAGTTTCCTGAGAGACATCAAATGCAGGAAACAATGTCTTCAATGCAGCGGCTTGAGGTGAGACTTCCTCTTCTCGTGTCTGTTTCTGGTTCAGACTGAAACTTTGACACTAGTCCATCCAAGTCCATCTAAGCACAAACAATAAGACTATGTTTTATCCAAAACCTGTGTTGTTTCTATATAATAACTTTGCTATATTGTTAGGGAATATAGTTGTTTAATTTGTAATTGTAAAAGGAGAAATAGTGATAGTGTGACCTTATGTTGAAAAAATAGTCAAACACTAACACATGCATAAAGTTTGATATTGTGCAGGTAGACTTCTATCCACGGCCCTTAAGCTCCCCAAAAGATTCTTCCCCAATTTCATAGGACTTTAAATCTCAACTAAAATGACTTGAAATGGAAACTACAGAGTGAATGAGAATGAGACTACAATAAAATAAGAATTCCATATGAGGTTTAAAAATCACTTCAGGGGCGAACTACATTTGAACTGGTTTAAAACAGCAACACAAAGATGGTGGGGGGTGGGGGTGCGATCACATTCATAAAAGCTCCTCCAACCAGAAAATGTTTGGTGCCGTCCCTGCCCCGTCCCAAGACACATTTGACCCATGGGAGACAATAAAGGAGGATCTTATCTTAGTCGTACGTTCTACGTGCATGTGTTCTGTGGAGGTTTTAGACTAGTGCACCACAGGGAACTCAGCCACACATTAAACATGCTCCCACAGTGAGTGTGTATACATGCACATCAGTATCCTGGTTATTAGCCATATCCCAAGTGCAAAAATTATCTTAAATCAATTTAATAAACCAAGAAAAATACAAACCATGAGCTCCTTTAGCAGAGGAAGCTCGGGAAGTTTAACCAGCGGTGAGGAGCTTCGAGATATCCTACAATTAATCCCCATATTGTGCATAAATAAACTCAGCTTTACAACATATAAACCATAACCACTATAGATCCACATCAGCCCGTTTGATCAGATAATTCAGCTTTGACACATTTGTTTACGTTTTACAGAAACGAAACTTAAGACCACATGGCTAATTAGCATAAACTGTTAGTGGTGATAAAAACAGCTCGTACCTTGTGCCGCTGCTTTCGTGAGGTGCTAATGATGGTGAGTGTGTTCTGTGCGTATATCGTATAGGAGATAGTTCATGTTATTTTCAGCGATAATACGTGTGCAGGTCTTACGAGTGCAGATTGTACGTGTGCAGCTCTTTATTCTACAATCATTTCACTCATGTATGGTCACTTTATTTATGTTGGTCACTTTATTTTTGTCGCTACTGTTGCGTTGAAAAGACTGGAAAGTATTTGTCTTTTGGATGCATGTGCATTCAACTTTATGTTGGAGTAACTGGGATACTGCGTTTACATGCCACAGTATCCCGGTTATATTGGAATATACCAGCCATAACTGGGATACTGAACCTGGGATAGTGAGTATACATGCATCATAAAGAAACCAGGATACTCAACAAACCCGATCATAACTGGGATACTCATGTGCATGTAAACACACTCACTGTTAGTTCATCTTGTACAAGTCCTAACCACAATACCACAGTGTCTTTGTTATTCTTTTTCACCCTGTTATTCTTAAATTCATATTTGAACTATTATTAAACTAATATATTCACTTTTTCAATGCATAACAAATTGTATTTACAGTGTGCTGATTTGGTCTTTTTTAAATTTCTAATGCCTTTTATTTGTATTAGACAAATAATAATAAAATCATAATGCATCAGTTTTATACAGCGCTTTTTGGACACTCAAACACACTTTACAGAGCATTATTCATTCACTCCACACCTGGTGGTGGTAAACTATTATTATAACCACATATTATAGCCACAGCTGCCCTGGGACAGACTGACGGAAGCGAGGCTGCCATCGGCCCCTCCAACCACCATCAACACTCACACACACACCACTTTCATACTAGACAATGTGGGTGAAGTGTCTTGCCTAAGGACACAGTGACAGTTTTTGTGACTGGCTCCCCCCTGTGGCTCCTGATTTTCACAGCCGTCTCCAGTACAATACAAAATGAATGAAATAATGACATTATTTTATCAGTAAATGTGTGTGGGTATGTACGTTTATTATCTTTGTAACATGAATACTTTATTATGTAACACAAGTTCACTGAAATGTACAAATCAATAAATCACATCTCTTGTGTGGTTTGGACCGTACTGTAAAGCAACACTGTGTGGAAATACAAAGTGGAGATAATGGTTTTATGCCATACAGTGGTAAATATAAAATTGCCATGAAGACAAGCAGGTAAGAGCCAGGTTTATGAAGATGCAAGCTCGCTCACAGTAAGGACTCACTGTTTGTCAAAAACAACTGTTGTTTTTTACCTGAAAAGTTTCGCTTTGGGGCTTTAACTCACGGTATTAACTCTTTTAGTTAAATTGATGTACGTTGCTTCATCTTCATTGCTTGAAGGTCCTAGAGAAGGAGAAAAAAAAGAGAAAAGTTTAAGTGCATTTACACAAAATTTTAATTTTATTTCACATTTTCTAGGATTTTATATTTTCAGTTAGTACTACAAGAAGTTTATTAGGCTACAATGCATTGCCACAACATTAATGTTTGGCTAACCAGAGTTGTGCAGATTCATAATCAAATGTTCCATCACAGGCAAATAAATGGAGAACCCCATTCAAATGACATGTTTATTTCCTGATATTTATTTCTCTTTTGTCTCATCAACATGTTAAAAGAAAAGGTCTCTGGGTTCAGCTCTATGTTCCTAGAAACACACTGCTCCTCATAGTTTAATCCTTACTCATGAGTTTCAGTTTTGTTTTTGATAAATAACATCCCCATGGAGGCGAGCAGACTCCACCACAAAAGTTGCATAGAATACCTTTAAATGCATCCGAAACAAAGAGTAAATATAATTTATTTATATGAATGGTGAAAAAATGTTGCCAATAAAGAAGAATCTGAAACTCATGACAGAATAAAATTGTCATTTGTCAGTGTTTTCTATCCCCCAGTTTAGCACCAACTACTTTAAACTGTGAGACAGTGTATAAACCTGATCTGTTCTAATAATCTTGGACGTTTGCCACACAACTGCACTTTCTTACCTTGATGTCTAGAGTCAGGACCATGATTGTTTGAACCTGTGGTTAAATAAAAAACATTTTTGAAAAGTGTCTTAGACTGTGAAGTAAAATCTTGAAGTTACCTTTGCATTTGTCAAAGATCAACACCAGAACTATCAGCAGCAACGGCAGAGTGACAAGACCAAAGAGCAGTGGCCATATAAACCCTGTTGCACCATGGACAGAGGTGATGGAGCGATTTTCTGAAGAAAAAAAAGTAAAGGTTTCTGTCCAGAATCTCTATAGTTTCATCAGAAGTGGAGGACAGGTCAGAAGTCTGTGGTGGAATTTGGTGTTTAACTGTCAGATTACAGATTTGGTGACCTGGTTTATGGTTCATATCTCTGTCATTACTGAGCTTATGCACATGAAACAAAAACTGGCACAATGTTCAACATGTTCTTTGTCAGTGTAAATAAACAAATATAAAATTATGATTTCACAATAGCTTCAGAAAGTGGTGCCATTATTCAACTCCAGATATGTGAATGTTGTCAGTTAAAAGGACTTACAGGTTAATATTGCAGGTTTGTGGAGCCAGTCCCACACAAATAATGACAAGGGTCAGAATTTGTAGATTTCTCTTTTGGATATTTCTTTCAAAAGTTATATAGAGCTATATAGACCCCTGCCCTTCATTTAAGATTATGACATAACATGAGAAATCCTGTCTCTCACCTCTCACAGCCAGCCACTGCTCCTCCGACTCTCTGTCCTCTGAGGTTTGGCACTTGTAAACTCCTTCGTCTGTTTTGAAAACTTTGTTCAGAGTCAACTTTCCAGAGGAACTGTTCCCGATCATTTCATCGTCTTTGTAGAAAAAAGTCGTGTAGTTTGAAGCGGCCATCTTGTCTCTACAGAACAGAGTCACGTTCTCTCCCTCCAGCACAGGCCGATCAGGAAGCTCCAGGAGCACAGCTGGACAAAACAATCACACTTTAGAAACATCAAATGTGTTCAAATATTAGAACAGTGTCAGGACTCACCTTTAACTTGCAGCAGATTTTCTTTGGTGAACCCCTTTTCAGATACGTTACATTTATAGAACCCCTGATCAGACAGTGAGATGTTGTGGAGGATCATCTCTCCAGTTGAACTTGTGTTCACATGGACACCATCTTTGTAGAAGTCAAACTTTGTGGAGGGTTTTAGGTCTGGGTTTTTAATGCAACGAAGAGTAACATTATCTCCAACCATCACCGGACCAACTGGACTCTCCAGGATTACATCAGCCGCTTTAAAGTAAATAATATGAACATTTTGCACTTGTGAAGTCACAAAAACACTGAAATCATTGAGAGCACATAGCAGGTTTAAAATTCCACAGGTATCTCTTTAACTGTGGCTCCACACCTTACATCAAATGTGATTGAAAATGAATGTGATTTTTAAAATAATTTATATAATATTTGTATAATTCTGTGTCTAAAATGTCGAGTAGTCAGAACTCTTACAATAATGTGTCTATAAAATAGATGGTGTAATGCCGTCCTGTACCTGTGACTGTGATCAGGACTCCTTCACTCCTCCTTTTGTCGTCACTCTCACACCAGTATTCTCCAGAGTCGGCTGGATACACCATTTCAATGTGGCACGCTCCAAAAGCAAAGTCTTTGTTACAAAATTTTTTTTCGTTTCCTTGCTTTTCTTTCCTCAGCACCCTCCATTGGATCATGTCATTAAAAAATCCCTCACAGGTCACATTGAGATTGCTGTATTCAAAGTACTGCAGTTGGGACAGGACAATACGAGGGAAAGTACGCTCTGTAGAAGAACAAAGAATCCAGTCAAAGGTTAAAGTTTGTGTGAAGGAAATCCAGAGGGTCTGATAAATGTATGTATCTGTTTTAACTATGGGTCACTAATCTATATTTAATGGAGTTGGTTTAAGATGTATTGTTATTTTAGATCAAAACAATGAAATGCAGTGTAGCAACAAAGAACCAAAAACAGCTCAGTTCAGAGTTTAGAGTCTTACCTGATGTTTGTGAAAGGCCGATGTGAGCACACAAGATCAACACCAACACATTCATCACTGAATATAGATACAGACACATCAGAAGGTTTCATTAACATTTTAAAAGAGATTAAATCGTAATTATCAACTCACTCAGAGAGATGGAGGAAGCTGTCAGGTCCGTACTGTCTGTCGCTCTGCTCAAAATGAGATGTGTCTCTGTCAAAGGTAAGGCTTCCTCTTTACCTGTTTATTTCTGGATCTGAGTTTCGGACTGACATACTTACTGCAACCACACGCACAACTATGTTTCAGAAAAACTTTTGATGAATATTCACAAACTGGGAATGTGACGATATGTTGCTACCAAACAAGAAGTCATCTGTTTCTCTGTTTTTAACATGTTTAAATGTACTTGGCACATTGGTCATTTTGAAGCCCATGCGAGTGTCATTTGAACATTTTTAGTTGAGATTGAATAGCCTATAAAAATGGCACAAAAATGACATCACAGCATTGCATGAAGTTGTTATTTAATGGAGATAGGGGTGTAAAATGACTTTTAATAATATGCAGATGTTGGCGTTGGACCTAGACACTGTTATGATGTGCCTCTGTCAAAGGTTAGGCTTCCTCTTTACCTGTTTAGTTTTGGATCTGAGTTTCGGACTGACATGCTTACTGCAACCACACGCACAACTGTGTTTCAGAAAAACTTTTTGTGAACATTCACAAACTGGGAATGTGATGATCCTGAAGTCCTGAGTGATGGTGGTGCAGAGGAAGCAGAAATGGTGGTGATGGGGGGTTTAAGATACTCAGATGACATCACACCATTGAATGAAGTTGTTATTTAATGGAGATGGGGCCAGGATGCCAGGATGGTGCCACCTAATGCCTCCACTCAATTTCATTTCTCACCAGCAATTACGTCAGGAATCAGAATACATTAGATGGTTTGCAAGAACCCTGAAAGTTGTAGACCCCACACTGGCCAGTCAGTGAAGAGCTGTGAAGTCATGACGTCAAACTCGTCGCGTCTGTCTGGGTCCCTTTTGTGGAACAGCACAAGAGTAAACAAAGCGTCGAGATGGATGTAGATGAAGACAGACATTCTGTGTTGGCAATGATTCCCGAGATCGAGGATTTAAAGCCGGAACAAAGAGAATGTTTGGTGAATTTTATCAAGGGGAAAGACGTTATTGTCCTTCTTCCTACAGGATCTGGCACATTACATACGTCACTACAAAATAGCAGCGATTGGTTAAATAAAAAAGTACCCCCCTATGGTCGAGTGAACGAATCCTAATTCTGTGAGGTCAGACGGTTTCCACGAAGTGAAACCGGCTGATGATTCGGGCTAGATTTTGGTGTTGGGCCTAGACACTATTATGATCAGGTTTAATATTTGTTGTGGCCAAACCTTCTTGTCCTGATCTCATCAGATCTTAGAAGCTAAACAGGGCTGAGCCTGGTTAGTACTTGGATGGGAAATCATTGGGAATTGCAGGTGCCACAGTGGGGCACAAGAGGAAAGAAAAGTAGTTGTGTCCTTAGGCAAGACACTTCACTCATATTACTTAGCAGTAAAATGGTGTTTCTGGTGGTCAGAGGTGGTGGCTACATTAGTAGCTTTGCACCACAAAGTGTGGAGTGAATGAATAATGATCTGTAAAGCATCTCTGAGAAGTTTAGAAAAGCCAATATAAGTATATATAAATTTGATTGACAGCTATTGTACCTTGTTGCTAAACTTGACATGTTCCATTTGGCTAAACCTGAACACTCTGGGTGACGTCACACTCCCTCAGTCCACTTACACTCTATGTGACCAAATAGCAAATCATGACCCCAGTTTCCTGAGAGACATCAAATGCAGGAAACAATGTCTTCAGTGCAGTGGCTTCAGGTAAGACTTCCTCTTCTCATGTCTGTTTTTGGTTCACAGAGTTTCAAATTTAAACTTTGACACATCACAAGTCCATCTAACCACAAACAATGAGACAATGCTTTATCCAAACCCTGTGTTAGTTTGTAATTGTAGTGATTGTGTGACCTTATGTTGAAATATTGTGTTAACACATGTGTATGGTTTGATATTTTGTTGTGCAGTTAACCTCCTATCCAGTGGTGGTCCATGGGGGCTTGAGGGGGCACTAGAGGGGGCCTTGAGGGCACCCCCCCCCCAATGCCCCCATAGCACCCACAAAGATTTTTTCCCCCAATTTTTTAGGACATCAATTCTTTAACTATAAATTACTTCAAATGGCAGAATCAAAATGGGATTATAATAAAATAGTAATTCCATATTAGGTTTTAAAAATCACTACAGGGGCTAACAACATTGAAAATTGCAAAGCAAAGATGTTGGGGGTGCAGACGCATCCATTAAAAGACTAAATTAACATGTTAAGTCTTCTCATTGAAGAACTTAAGCCCATAGCCCATTATGAACACTTCTGGAATACCATAGCGAGCAAAAGTAGCTTTAAGCCTGGAAACTACCTCAGTGCTTGAAGTTGTTGGCACGGTCTTGTTGGAAGTACACTTGGAAATAATGGCTCTTTTCTCTGCATGTTTTTTTATTTTTTTTCTCATTTTCTCTCATTTTGGGCCATACATACTGTAAAACTCTTTCCCTACACTTGGTTAGACTGTGGTTCCCAATCATGGATCTTCTCTCTACAGGAATCTCACACCCTCTCTCAATAAGCCCATAAGTGTGTATACATTCACATCAGTATCCCGGTTATTAACCATATCCCGGTTATGGTAGTATTTGGGATACTGAGTATACATGCGCGCTGAGAAACTGAGATACTCATTTTCGTGTATACATGATTAAATGGAGTATCCCAGTTTCTTGACATAATCTTACAAATGTGCAAGTGCAAAAATTAACCTAATTTAAGTTAATAAACCAGGAAAAATACAAACAGGAAGCTCAGGAGGTTATTTTTAATAGATCCATGGGTTCAAAGCAGCGGTATGGAGCTATGAGGTATCCCACAATCCACTGCACAGATCAAACTCAACATATAGATTTTTATTAAAATATTCTGCATAAATAAACTCAGCTTTATAACATATGAACCATAACCACATCAGCCCGTTTGATCATATATATAGTTCAGCTTTGTCACATTTGTTTACGTTTTACTGAAACTAAGACCATATGGCTAATTAGCATAAACTGTTAGCGGTGATAAAAAAACAGTTCGCTCCTTGTGCCGCTCATGCGGTTCAGCTTCTGTCGGACTAAAGGACACGACTCAGTGGAATATTTGTGTTTTTTTCTGTGACAGAAGTGTGGCTGATGATGGTGAGTGTGTTCTGTGTGTATATTGTATAGGAGATGTTTCCTGTTTAACTTTTCAGTGATCATACGTGTTCAGGTCGTACGAGTGCAGATTCCTGTGCAGGTTTAGCGCAGTCATTTCACTCATGTATGGTCACTTTATTTATGTCGCTGTTGTAGTGGTGAAAAGACTGAAAAGTATTTGTCTTTTGGACACATGCACACTCAAATTTATGTTGCAGTAACTGGGATACTACGTATACATTTCACAGTATCCCGGATACTATTGGAAAATACCAGCTACAGTATCCCAGTTTCTCATAACCGGGATACTGAAACTGTATACATGCACTTTGACGAAACTGGGATACTGAAAAAAACATATCATAACTGGGATGCTAAAAACACTGCTATATCAGCAGCGGTGAAACGCCAGAGACACGGCCGCGTAGACCTTCAGGTAACTGCGGGCGAAAGGACCGACGCAGAACTCTACGCTGTTTAGACCTGGGTCAGTTCTGGTTTAGACCTGGTTTATAGTCGTCCCTCGCTCTATAGCGGTTCACTTTTCGTGGTCTCGCTGTTTCGCAGATTTTTGTGTGTACAATTTTGCATGCCTTTTGTTTTTACAGTGTATGAATGCAATAGTAATGTAATGCCTTACATTTTAAATGCAGTAATATTGTAATGTAACGAATTACTATGAAAAGACAGTAATAAGTAATAAATAATACATTACAGTTTTAAAGTAACTTGCCCAACAGTGTTTATCAGGGGCACGAGGGGCTTGTGGTCCGTTATCAGTCTGAACTTGCTGAGTCCAAACATGTAGGCTGTCTATCGTTCCTCTCGCACACTCAGACGCAAACCTGGTCTCTGTGTTTCCACTGGTCCCCATGTAGGGCTGTAACGATAACAGATTTTGCTGGAATGTATTGCAATAAACGATAATATTGACATTTTGAGACCAGTTTCAACTATTAAAATGACAATGGAATAAAAATGCAAACACACCCTTTCAAAGATTAATAAACCTTACTTTCTAAAGAACATTTAACACAGGAACTGCAAGACAAACAAAAACAACAGGCCTAAAACAGACTTGTTAACAGAGGACTAGCCTAATGTGTCTGGCTCACAGCAAGGACTTGTTTACAAAAAAGCACTTGAATAAACCACTGCTGAACCAAATACAACCAAAGCAATAAATAAAATGGATTATTAAGTCTCTGTAACAAAATTGCCCTTAAAAGTGATTTTAGTCACTGACTTACATTGAAATATTGTGTCTTGTCTCTCTGTGGCTGCTGCTGTTGCCTCAGCATTTTGGTCTTGAAGTGTTCGTATGAACCCGCGACACAGGATGCTGTTTTGCTATGAGGGAGCCTCTGTTCTGTCTGGTGTTGTGTTGGGTTTGGGTTTATGTCGGCTGTTGGGGTTTGAAACATTTCTTCTCGTTGTTTTTGCGCTCGCTGCATTTGACGCATGTGGCTGTTGAGACGTGTCCCGCTCACCAGTGTTGATTCGGCATAGTGACTTGTTTTGGCACTCGGCGATGAAACTGTTTTGGTTCTGACAGCGGCGCTAGCTTGTGCATCATGTTCGCTGCACAGACAGCAGCGTTTTCTGCACTCAGGCTGCGCACGCATCCACGGTGTTGATAAACACAGTGCACATTGGTTCAAGTGTCATTACACTTGTTAAACAAGAGGAGTCAGAGAGCGATAGAAGCTTCTAACATTCAGTCTCTTTGAGCGCGAGAGAGCGAGGAAAACAAACAAGCAGGTAAATAGAATTTATCACGTCCGGAAAAGTTATCGAGTGCGTTAATAGTTATTAAACAATTAATTGATTTATTAATTATCGTTACAGGCCTATCCCCATGCAGCTGGACTGTAACTGCTTGTGTCTGCTGAAACTACAGCAGGTTTGTAAGCTTCATAAAATGCTTGCCGCACTGATAGAAACGTGCCTGCTCATGTATAATGTTGTGGTGGGGAATAAAGTACTCATCAAACTACCACATATCTTTTCTTATCATGCAAAGTGGAACTAGCTAAATATCTTTTCAGTTTTGCTTCCCATTGTCTAGATCAGTGAAATGTCCCCACTGTCTCTGTTCAGATTTGTCACTACCTAGTAGCAGGAAAATCTCTGTTTCCATTCAGGCCACCTGATGGGACGGTTAAACATAAACTCACACAGTAGATAAAACTTTGCTATCCTGGTGACTGTGTGTCCTTGTCACTTCTAACGTCATGTAATGTCTGTACTTTATTTAAGACATAAATAATGAGACAACAGCATGTGGTTGCTTGGCTTGTACTTGTTACTGAACACTGTACTGAATAAAACTGTATATATACAAAACAGCACCTCCCAGAACACCTTGCACTAAGGTCTCTTAAAATGACAGAACATTTTACTGTAAAGCATGCATTACAATGTATGTTGCTTCATCTTCACCGTTTGTAACTGGCGGCCCTAGAGAAGGAAGAAAAAATAAAGGTTCACAAGTACATTTACACAAAAATTTTAGTCTTATTTCACATTTTTTTAAGGTTTTATATGTTCAATTAGTACTCCAAGAAGTTAGGCTAATGCACATTGCCACTTTTGATGCACAAATACCACTTTTCCAAAATGTTATGTTAGTGATAGACATTTTCTCCCCTCTTTGAACCGTCACCTTAACATGGTTGAGGGGTTTCAGGGCCCGAATGATCCTGGGAGCTATGTTGTTGGGGGCTTCATGCTCCTGGTAGGGTCACCCAAGGCAAACAGGTGCAGGGGGACGGTTCAGAAGCCCTTTATGATGGCACAGCCCGAACGACACAGGGCTGCCCTTTCATGGGCCCACCACCCACGGGAAGAGCCACAAGGGGCCGTTGCAAAGAGAAGGGTCGAAGGCGGAGGGCCACGATGACCGGATCTCTGGACATGGAGATTAGCTCTGGGGCTTGTGCGTGTGCGGGAGGTTGAATGCTACCGACTAGATATAGTTGGCCTCTCCTTCACGCACAGTTTGGGCTCTGGAACCCAACTCCTTGAGAGGGGCTGGACTCTCCATTTCTTTGGCGTTTGCCGCGGAGAACAGCGGTGGGATGGTGTGGACCTGATCATTGCCCCACTGCTCAGCTGCCGTGTGTTGGAGTTCACCCCGATGAACAAGAGGGTCGCATCCCTGCTCTTTCGGGTCGGGGACAGGTCTCAAGTGTGAAGCGGCTGGGATGAGGATGAGCTCTTCCAAGTCCAAGGCCATGGTTCTCGACCGGAAAAAGATGGCTTGCCCTCTCCTGGTGGGTGGAGAGTCCCTGCCTCAAGTGGAGGAGTTCAAGTATTCAAGTCTTGTTCATGAGTGGGAGGAGGACGGAGCGTGAGATTGACAGGTGGATTGGTGCAGCATCAGCAGTGATGCGGTCGCTGTATCAGACAGTTGTGGTGAAGAGGGAGCTGAGCCAAAAGGCGAAGCTGTTGATTTACCGGTCAGTCTTCGTCCCTACCCTCACCTATGGTCATGAGCTCTGGGTAATGACTGAAAGGACAAGATTGCGAATACAAGCGGTCGAAATGAGTTTCCTCCGCAGGGTGGCTGCGTGCTCCCTTAGAGATAATGTGAGGAGCTCAGTCACACGCGAGGAGCTCGGAGTAGAACTGCTGCTCCTCCACGTCGAGAGGAGCCAGCTGAGGGAATGGCATCTGTTCCAGATGCCTGGGTATGTCCCACCGGGAGGAGGCCCCGAGAAGACCCTGGACATGCTGGAGGGACTATGTCTCTTGGCTGGCCTGGGAACGCCTCGGGGTTCCCCCAGAGGAGCTGGAGGAATTGTCTGGGGTGAAGGAAGCCTGGGAGTCCCTGCTTAGACTTCTGCCCCTGTGGGCTTTATTGTGTTATTGTAGTGATGACCCTTTGGTTTATTTTAAGTCCATTTGGGTTTGTGTACATGATTTTGACCAGAATGGAGGAGTTGTTGAAGAAAAACAGCCTTTGCTGACTGCGCTCTGAGCTAACTGTTAACAAGCCACTTTTAGCAACAGTGAGAGCTGTCTTACTTTTACCACAGCCACACTTTGACCAATATGGACATGCTGTAGCTCTCTGAAAAGCTCTGAACAAGTTTAAGCTTTCATTTGCTAAATTTGTACTGGCACCTTGTTTCAAATGGTTATCCGATACTGGTATCAGTATCAGTGCTTCCCTAACTGACACAACACAAATGTTTGACGAGTCCCGACCTGACCCCCATTTAAATTACATGTTTATTTCCTGACATTTATTTCAATCTTCTGGCTCATCAACAGCATGTTAAAAAAGAGGTCTATTGTAGGTTCGGCTCTATGTTCCTAGAACACCACACTAATGTTAAAAGAGTGTTGTTTAATCCTTACTCATGAGTTTCAGTTTTGTGTTTGACAAATAACATCCCCATGGAGACGAGCAGACTCTCCATCACAAAAGTTGCATAGAATACCTTTAAATGTATCCGAAACAAAGAGTAAATATAATTTATTTATATGAATGGTGAAAAAATGTTGCCAATAAAGAAGGAATCTGAAACTCATGATAGAATAAAATTGTCATTTGTCAGTGTTTTCTATCACCCAGTTTAGCACCAACTACTTTAAACTGTGAGACAGTGTATAAACCTGATCTGTTCTAATAATCTTGGACGTTTGCCACACAACTGCACTTTCTTACCTTGATGTCTAGAGTCAGGACCATGATTGTTTGAACCTGTGGTTAAATTAAAAAAACATTTTTGAAAAGTGTCTTAGACTGTGAAGTAAAATCTTGAAGTTACCTTTGCATTTGTCAAAGATCAACACCAGAACTATCAGCAGCAACGGCAGAGTGACAAGACCAAAGAGCAGTGGCCATATAAACCCTGTTGCACCATGGACAGAGGTGATGGAGCGATTTTCTGAAGAAAAAAAAGTAAAGGTTTCTGTCCAGAATCTCTATAGTTTTCATCAGAAGTGGAGGACAGGTCAGAAGTCTGTGGTGGAATTCGGTGTTTAACTGTCAGATTACAGATTTGGTGACCTGGTTTATGGTTCATATCTCTGTCATTACTGAGCTTATGCACATGAAACAAAACTGGCACAATGTTCAACATGTTCTTTGTCAGTGTAAATAAACAAATATAAAATTATGATTTCACAATAGCTTCAGAAAGTGGTGCCATTGTTTAACTCCAGATATGTGAATGTTGTCAGTTAAAAGGACTTACAGGTTAATATTGCAGGTTTGTGGAGCCAGTCCCACACAAATAATGACAAGGGTCAGAATTTGTAGATTTCTCTTTTGGATATTTCTTTCAAAAGTTATATAGAGCTATATAGACCCCTGCCCTTCATTTAAGATTATAACATGAGAAATCCTGTCTCTCACCTCTCACAGCCAGCCACTGCTCCTCCGACTCTCTGTCCTCTGAGGTTTGGCACTTGTAAACTCCTTCGTCTCTTTTGAAAACTTTGTTCAGAGTCAACTTTCCAGAGGAACTGTTCCCGATCATTTCATCGTCTTTGTAGAAAAAAGTCATGTAGTTTGAAGCGGCCATCTTGTCTCTACAGAACAGAGTCACGTTCTCTCCCTTTTAGGGATTTAGGTTTGGGTTTTTAATGCAACGAAGAGTAACATTATCTCCAACCATCACCGGACCAACTGGACTCTCCAGGATTACATCAGCCACTTTAAAGTAAATAACAAAATGGAAAAAAAAAAAAAAAAAAATATATATATATATATATATATATATATATATATATATATATATATATATATATATATATATATATATATATATATATATATATATATATATATATAATTCTATATTTTTCTATATTTATTTTGTGTCTAAAATGTTCTGTAGTGAGAGCCGTTAGAATAATGTGTTTAAAAAATACCTGTGACTGTGATCAGGACTCCTTCACTCCTCCTTTTGTCGTCACTCTCACACCAGTATTCTCCAGAGTCGGCTGGATACACCATTTCAATGTGGCACGCTCCAAAAGCATCAGTGATTTTGTTACAAGAAGTTTTTTGGTTTCTTTTCTTATGTTTCTTCAGCACCCTCCATTGGATCATGTCATTAAAAAATCCCTCACAGGTCACTTTGAGATTGCTGTATTCAAAGTACTGCAGTTGGGATGGAACAATACGAGGGAAAGTACGCTCTGTAGAAGAACAAAGAATCCAGTCTAAGGTTTGCAAGTTTTTTCTTGATTGGAAATGACACAGGCGTCTCCCAGGAGATAATAAGATGATGTACAAGCAGCATCATTGTGGAAAAAAATATTTCTCAGCTTTTGTTTACATTTGAACAAAAAGTGGCGTGTCCAGAATTATCAATCAATAATCAATAGAAAAGCCTTTATTGGCTATTACAGCAATCCAATGCTTCCTATAATTGCTGACCAGTTTTTTGCACATTTCCACTGATATTTTGGCCTATTTTAGCAGTGAGCTCCAATGTTTTCAGATTGGAGGGTCTCCTCGCCATCACCCTGATCTTTAGCTCCCTCCACAGATTCTCAGTTGGATTCAAGTCAGGACTCTGGCTGGACCACTGCAAAACGGTAATGTTGTTGTCCAATAACCATTTCTTCAGCACTTTTGCAGTGTGCTTTGGGTCATTGTCGTGCTGAAATGTCCACTGGTGCCCAAGTCCAAGTTCCTCTGCAGCTGCTTGATGTTGTAGTTGAGAATCTTGATGTATTGCTCTTTGTTCATGGTGCTGTTTACTGGGATTAGACTCCATGGTCCATTGGCTGAAAAACATCTCCAAAGCATTCGGCTCCCACCATCATGTTTGACAGGGGATGGTGTTCTGAGGGTTGAAGGCTTCTCCTTTTTTACGCCAAATCATCAATACATCATTGTGGCTAAACAATTCATTTTTTGTTTCATGTGACCATAAAACAAAAGACCAAAAGTCGTCTTCTTTGTCCCGAGGAGCATTTGCAAAGGCTAAACGGGCTTTTGTGTGCCTTATCTGGAGAAGTGGTGTCCTTCTTGGTCTGCGTCCGTGGAACTTTGCAGTATGTAGTGTCTGTTGGATTGTCTGCCTTGAGATGTTGCTACCAGCAGGGCTCAGATTCACTTAGATGACCTTGGTGGTGACCTGTGGATTCTTTTCCACTTCTCACTATCCTCCTGGCCAGCACAGGTGTCACTTTTGGCCTCCAGCCACATCTTGTGAGATTTTCCACAGTGTGGAACATATTGTATTTTTAAATAATTCTTTACACTGTAGCCACTGGAACTTGAAAACATATAGATATGGCCTTATAGCCCTTTCCTGACTTGTGAGCAGCCACAATACACAGCTGTAGATCCTCAGAGAGCTCTTTTGTCTTAGCCATGACTGTTCACAAACCAACTGCAAAGACCTGCTGTTTTTCACCTATTCAGTTGTTTAAAACAGCTCTTCCCAATGAATCAGAAGAATTAGGAAGTTTTAGAACAGCTTGTACTGTTTGGAATGGTATAGACCAGGGGTGGGCAAACTTTTTGGCTCGGGGGCCACATAGGGTTCTAAAATTTGACTGAAGGGCCGGACAGAAGACGGGACACGACGTGTTCAGAGCCCAGCTCCATTGCACTAGTATTTACTCTCATGTAGGACGTACTCTACACTACGCGCTGCAACTTTTAGTCATGTAAGTTTCAGAACTCATGAAAAGTGAAATGAGGCCTGCCCCAACCAAACCTTCAGGAGTTTCTAATACAGTGAGCATGAATTTAATGACTTTGTTAAACACAGATTTAAAGCGGAAACAGTGCAGCCTTATGTCTTGAACACTTTTATCTCATTCATGGTCCGAATACACCGCCTGAAATGACTCCTGTCAATACTTTCCCATAAAGCATTGCGACCAACAGAAGCCGCCGCACCTCAATGTATATATAGGGCGCCATCTACCGGGAGACGCCGGAAATGCAAGAAAGATAAAACAGCAGTACGGTTTATTTATTATAATTTGGTCAAGTTCTGTGGGTCAGTTTGAACGGCTCAATAAGGTCACCGGGCACTAAATAACTGGATACAGTATTGCTGCTTGTAGCTGCCTCCAGTTGACGTAGTGTCACTCACTGGAACTTCAGCAGAAAAAAAGCCCATGGGCATAGAGGCAATGTAATCACAAACTGCTCGTGTTCGTCTGACAGGTCATCTACCGCTTTCAAAAATATCGGATTTGTTGGCGATTTTTACCTATTTTTAGATCATAAACTTTTTCTCAGCTCAAAATCCATCAGTTGTCTTAAAAAAACAGTTTATATTCGTTAGCTTCGGCTACGCTCTGCTCCGCTTTAGCTCCTCTCGCTCTGATTGGTCAAAGCGATCACATGACACACGAGCCCGCGCACCGTGCGTGCGGTTGCGTGCATTCGCGTGTGCCCGCGGGAGAAAAGAGCAGTAGTGCGCATGCTCGGTCGGCCCACAGCCGCCGGAAGTACCTAGCCATGCTAGGCTAATCTGGGATCATGCGCCATTGTGCTCTGCACAGTAATTTGAATGGGCGGCTATATTGGAATATGTTGGGCTTGGCACAGGCTCGTACCGGCCGCTTATTAGCAAACATCACAATTATCCCTGACTGAACTTCGTATTTAGAGGTAACAGGTGATGCACATGAGACTGTCAAACGGAGTTGTTGCAGTACCTTTCCTCAGAATGTCATGTTTCTACAGACAACATGGAGGAGCAGACAGGTTTAATTTTTACACTTACATCAGAAATAGTGCAGTCTTATGTCTTTAACACTTTTACCTCATTCATGGTCCGAATACGCTGCCTGAAAATGACTCCTGTCAATACTTTCCCATAAAGCATTGCGGTCAACAGAAGCCGCCGCACCTCAATGTATATATAGTGCGCCGTCTACTGGGAAACGCCGGAAATGCAGGAAAAATAAAACATTAACAAGGTTTATTATTATTATTTATTCAAGTTCGGCGGGCCGGATTAAAAGGTTTAAAGGGCCGCATATGGCCCCCGGGCCGTAGTTTGCCCATCCCTGGTATAGACCTTTGGATTTTTCCATAGACTCTGACAGTTTACAAAGGGTATGAATAATTCTGGACATGCCGCTTTTTGTTCAAATGTAAATAAAAGCTGAGAAATATTTTTTTTTCCACAATGATGCTGCTTGTACATCATCTTATTATCTTCTGGGACATGCCTGTGTCTTTTCCAATCAAGAAAAAACTTGCTGGTTGAATAAAAGTAACTTTAAGTCAAAATTTGTCAGGGATATAAATAATTTTGGGCTTGACTGTATGTATCTGTTGTAACGATGGGTCACTAATGTATGTTCAAGGGAGTTGGTTTAAGATGTATTGTTATTTTAGATCAAAACAATGAAATACAGTGTAGCAACAAAGAAAGAACCAAAAACAGCTCAGTTTAGAGTCTTACCTGATGTTTGTGAAAGGCCGATGTGAGCACACAAGATCAGCACCAACACATTCATCATTGAATATAGATACAGACACACTTCACACATCAGAAGGTTTCATTAACATTTTAAACGAGATTAAATCAAAATTATCAACTCACTCAGAGAGATGACAGAAGCTGTCAGGTCCATATCATCTCACATTCTGTTCAACATGAGATGTGTCACTGATGTAGGTGACGCTTCACCTCCCTGGTTATTTCTGGATCTGAAAGTTTCAGACTGGCGCATTTGCTGTAGACACATTTACAACTGAGTTTCAGAAAAGCTTTTCAGCCATTGCAAGTGAACATTCACTAACTGGGAATGTGACAATATGTTGCTACCAAGAAGTAATAATAGTAAATCCAACCAGCTCTGCAGTGGAGAGCACTATGATCTGCTGCAGTCTGTGTCTGTCCCCCAGTGTACCACTGTGATGAAGGAGGTGAGGATGGACTCAATGATATTGATTTATTTACATCTATATTTATTTAGTTATTGTAAATCTGCGCCAGCATCTGGGCTGGAGCTCGACTTTCCTCAGCTGCTACAGGAATTACATCTTCTGTTGGACCTTCTGGATGATGAAGCTGATGCTGGGCTCCCAGTGAGTGATGGTTGTGCAGAGAAAGAGGAAAGAATCCACAGTGGTGATGATGGGGATTTAAGTTGTTACCAGGTTTCAGATGACATCACAACGTTATATTTCTACATTACATTTAATGTAATTTGCATTACATGCATTTTTACATTACATTTACATACTTTATATTTAATAGATGTATGTGTAACCAAATGAGCAGGCTACTTAAAAACACAGGTAAGGACTGCAGGTGGTGGTTAAAATGAGATGTTTTAGAAAAGAATTTACCAGTGTTTTTTGCAAAAATATAGATATTTGAATTCAGACTATGGTTAAAAGCAGACACAAATCAGCAGGGATTATAAAATAACCTAGGACAGGCTACATGTGGCTGCACCCGGTGTGGGCAGTAACCACCTGGGTACACACACACACACACAAACACACACACACAAACACACACACACGCACACATACACACACACACACACACACACACACACACACACACACACACACACACACACACACACACACACACACACACACACCACACACACACACACACACACACACACACACACACACACACACACACACACACACACACACACACACACACACACACACACACACACACACACACACACACACACACACACACACACACACACACACACACACACACACACACACACACACACAACACACACACACACACACACACACACACACACACACACACACACACACACACACACACACACACACACACACACACAACACACACACACACACACACAACACACACACACATCATCGTCATTAACCTGAGAACGCGCGGACCACGTTTCCTTCCGTAGTTACTGCGTGGACAGCGACGTGCTCCCGTGAGCCGCGTGTGGATCGTGTTTTCTCGCGTACGCGACGTAAACCCGCGCTTCCTCCTGTGAGCCTCTAAACCAGAACTAACACCAAGACTAAAACCAGGACTAATCCAGTCCAGGACTAAACCAGGACTAAACCAGAACTAACACCAAGACTAAAACCAGGACTAATCCAGTCCAGGACTAAACCAGGACTAAACCAGGACTAAACCAGGACTAAACCAGGTCTAAACCAGGACTAAACCATAACTAAAACCAGAACTAAAACCAGGACTAAACCAGGACTAAACCAGAACTAACACCAGGACTAAACCAGGACTAAACCAGGACTAAACCAGAACTAACACCAGGACTAAAACAGGATTAATCCATTCCAGGACTAAACTAGGACTAAAGCAGGTCTAAACCAGGTCTAAACCAGGACTAAAACCAATGATCTCATATATAAAGCATTTCTCTATTAATAATATTTTTAATATGGTTAAGGAAAGACTGGACTTTTTATTGTCTTTAAGTAGACAAAAGTTATTATGTTCAGATTTCCTCGTCTTTGCTACTTTACAGTAAACAGTTTCTTATTCATGGAGACTTGGGCTCAACAGCCAATTTGGAGAGATTTGTTAAACAATAAATGACTTTATAAAGTCACTTTTTTTTGTTCTATATCAGTCTTTTGATCTGCCACAATAATGTAATAATGAATTTAAATGAAAATACCTCAAATTGAAGCTTTTCTCAGCAATTTTTAGGTGAGATTAAAATGAGATTAATTAGATTAATTAATTACAGATCATAATTAATTAATCTCTCAATTTTTTTAATCGCATGACAGCACTAATAAATACTGCGAGTAATTTGGCAATACAGAAATGAAGGCAGAGAGAGGGGGCGTGCCTGCTGCCGCTATGCCCCTGTGTTGGCCGACAGTGGCCAAACTATGTGCGGCTACATATGTAAAATCATTTTTAATAATATGCAGATTTTTGGCCTTCTAAGTACTTGAGTAGAAGAGTGCAGGGAATTCCTTGTGTCACAGTGGGGGACCAGTGCCCCTAAGCAAGGCACTTCACCCACATTGCCTTGTCTGAATGTGGTGTGTTCATGAGTGTTGGTGTTCGATCAGAGGGACTGGCAAGTCTCTTTTCTGTCAGTCTGCCCCAGGGCAGCTGTGGCTACAATAGTAGCTTACGAAACAGTAAAACTTTGAGCTTCTGGGGAAAAAAAAAAAAAAAATAATAAAATAATAATAATATATACACACACATACACACACATACACACACACACACATATATATATATATATATGCACATCAAATTGTGGTAATAAAAATGTTTATTAACGGGGAATTCTGTATCTTGTCCAAAACAAAACAAACAACATTAATAGTTGAAATGCTTGGTTGCCATGGAAGATTTTTTATTCTATTTTAATCTTGGAAGAGAGCTCAATAGTTGAGAATTCATGGGTTTAAAGTTATGACACCACAATTATATCAAAACTCAGTTCCCTTTGCCCTAAACGTCACTACAAGAATCCTACACAGAAACCTCATCTGACCAGTCCACCTCCTCCCCTCACTGTGAATAAGACCCTCACATAACCATCTCGCAGGATTTATTGGTTGGCCTTCCTTGATTTTATTGCTTTTATTGCTTATTTTTTATTCTATTTTATTCATTTATTGATTATAATGAATTGAATTGTTTGCATCATGCTTTCTGTATGCTGTTTTTATGCTCTTTGTATTGTTCATTGCTGTACAGCACTTTGTAAACCTACTGGCAATAATCAATGCTGTGGTGACCAAACCAGACCCCTCAGGCTCCTCGAACTACACCAAGAAATCCAGTCCATAAAGAAAAGCTTAACTGCTATAAACATAACTGGTGACAACACCAAACAGTTGAGTGTTAGAGAAGATGAATATTCATGGGTGACAACTCAACACATTGTACATTTTGTTTAGAATTTTAAATCATTATGGCAACGGTGCTATTCTTCATCACTCTAAAACTCATTGATACAAAACATACAAAAATTTAAAGATTTTAAAGCTGTTATTTTATTTTTTCAGCAGGTGATAGAAATCTACTTGAAAACATCTAACAATTATGACTTTTCTTTTGTGTTTTTAAGCAAACATAGACTGTGTATATAGATGGACATGACATGATTGCTCGGTGTGATGTTTCAAATAGGGAGTGAGCATGGGGACAATTTGGCTTCATAAACTCAGCACAGTTCACTTTCTACTGAAAAATCTGTTGCTGTTAGGCTCTTCATTCTGGTTCATATTAACCCACTCTTCATGATCCAGGTGTTTTTATTTCACAATTTTGTCCTTAATTTTGTCCTTGATAGGAACATTAATAACAGACCAATCGTGTCTCTATGTTTCCCATTTTCCTGTTTGATTGACAGCTATTGTACCTCGTCGTAGCTACACTCTATGTGACCAAATAACAAACTATGACCCCAGTTTCCTGAGAGACATCAAACGCAGGAAACAATGTCTTCAATGCAGCGCCTTGAGGTGAGACTTCCTCTTCTCCTGTCTGTTTCTGGTTCAGAGTTTCAGACTGAATCTTTGACACATCACAAGTCCATCTAAGCACAAACAACGAGACAATGTTTTGTCCAAAACCTGTGTTGTTTCTATATAATAAATATGCTATGTTGTAAGAGAATATAGTTGTTTAGTTTGTAATTGTAAAAGGAGAAATAGTGAGAGTGTGACCTTGTGTTGATAAATAGTCAAACACTAACACATGTTTATGGTTTGATATTTTTCTTGTGCAGTTAGCCTGTTATCCAGGGCCGGCACCAGGGGGGCTTGAGGGGGCACTAGCCTCCCCTAGAATGACCATTGCCATTTCATAGGACATTAAATCAAATTAATCTCCACTAAAATGCCTTGAAATGGAAACCACAGAGAGTTCAAAATGAGACTACAATAAAACAATCATTCCATATGAGGTTTAATAAATCACTTCAGGGGCGAACTACATTTGAACTGGTTTAAAACAGCAACACAAAGATGGTGGGGGGTGGGGGTGTGCGCTCACATTCATAAAAGGCTCTAAATGAACATGTGAAGTGTACACCCCCACTGAAGATCTTAGACCCCACAGCTCCTCCAACCAGAACATGTTTGGTGCCGTCCCTGCCCCGTCCCAAGACACATTTGACCCATGGGAGACAATAAAGGAGGATCTTATCTTAGTCGTACGTTCTACGTGCATGTGTTCTGTGGAGGTTTTAGACTAGTGCACCACAGGGAACTCAGCCACACATTAAACATGCTCCCACACTGTTAGTTCATCTTATACAAGTCTTAACCACAATACCACAGTGTCTTTGTTATTCTTTTTCATCCTATTATTCTTAAATTAATCTTTGAACTATTATTTAACTATTAACTCATATTTTCACTTTTTCAATGCATAACACATTGTATTTACAGTGTTTTTAATGTCTTTTATTTGTATTAGGCAAATACAAAATAATTAAAATAATGACACATGTATAATTGTATCAGTAAATGTGTATGGATATATATTTTTATTATCTTTGTAACATGAACACAAGTTCACTGAAATGTACAAATCAGTAAATCACATCTCTTGTGTGGTTTTGACCGTACTGTAAAGCAACACTGTGTAACTTTCTGTTAGTAGCACGTCTTTTGCATAATTCCATGGAAATAGAAAGTATATATATATATATATATATATATATATATATATATATATATATATATATATATATATATATATATATATATATATATATATTTATATATATATATATATATATATATTTTTATTTATTTATTTATTTATTTATTTTTTGTCTAACAAGTTGAGTTTGGGGGCTTTAACTCATGGTACAGAGAAGTATCTCTTTTAGTTAGGGCGGTGTACTTTGCTTCATCTTCTTCGTTTGTAACTGGAGGTCCTACAGAACGAGAGAGGTTTTATATTTTCAGTTAGTTCTCCAAGAAGTTATTGAAGAAGACCATCAGATACTTTTCTCCATGGAGATGTTATTGCTTCATCTGGAATGTTTCACAATATGGTATAAACCTTTCTATCTTCATTAATACCAAACCAGACCAAGTTACAGGTCAGATCTGTGGAGAGGTGACCCCGGTCACAGTGAGAATGTTTGTTTTTCGAGGTATTTTTGAGCTATAAAACCACCTGATATTGAATAAATGTACTGTGGAACATTCCAGACAGAGCAATGACATCTCCATAGAACTAAGCAGGTGATTAAGTTACCTTTGTATTTTTTATAGATGAACACCAAAACAAACAGCAGCACAGGCAGAGCGATGAGCCCCGAGAGATAAAACATATTAAAGTGAGTCACGCCAGAAACATCAGAAGTGCTGAAGCTGTTCCCTCCTGAAGAGAAAGAAATACACATTTATTCTCCATATAGTCAAGGTTTGGACATAACTCTCATTCAATGTTTTGTTTTTTTACTTTATGTGTACTAATAAATGGAATTAAGTAGTGAAGAAAAAAGTGAAGTATTATTATTTATAGTGAATATATTTATATATATTTATATGCATTTAATAATTGAATTACATATTTGCTTTTAAAAAATATTCTATGTGTTTATATATTCATAATGTCATAATTGATCTTTCATGTTACATTTCAAATTAGTAGGATTAAAAAAACAAAAAACTAAACAAACAAAAAAAAAACAACCTCTCACCTCTCACAGCCAGCCACTGCTCCTCCGACTCTCTGTCCTCTGAGGTTTGGCACTTGTAAACTCCTTCGTCTGTTTTGAAAACTTTGTTCAGTGTCAACTTTCCAGAGGAACTGTTCCCGATCATTTCATCGTCTTTGTAGAAAAAAGTCGTGTAGTTTGAAGCGGCCATCTTGTCTCTACAGAACAGAGTCACGTTCTCTCCCTCCAGCACAGGCCGGTCAGGAAGCTCCAGGAGCACAGCTGGACAAAACAATCACACTTTAGAAACATCAAATGTGTTCAAATATTAGAACAGTGTCAGGACTCACCTTTAACTTGCAGCAGATTTTCTTTGGTGAACCCCTTTTCAGATACGTTACATTTATAGAGCCCCTGATCAGACAGTGAGATGTTGTGGAGGATCATCTCTCCAGTTGAACTTGTGTTCACATGGACACCATCTTTGTAGAAGTCAAACTTTGTGGAGGGTTTTAGTTTTTTCCTTTTAATACAACGAAGAGTAACATGATCTCCAACCGTCACCGGACGAACTGGACTCTCCAGGATTACATCAGTCACTATAAAGTAAAGAGTAATATTCAGCACTTAAGACACATGTCAGTTTTTCACACAGTTGATTTAAAGTAAGTGTGTGTGTAACTGTGGTTCACTCCTCACACCAGTGTGGTTTCGGCTAAACTTGATACATACAGTAATGACTATAATACATATGATATTATCTACAGGTTTCTTTATTTGCCATCTCCACAATGTTTTTATGACCTGGTCCCTGAAGGGTTGACCAGGTTTTGTATTCACCCTGTGTGTCTGTGTGTGTGTGTGTGTGTGTGTGTGTGTGTGTGTGTCTGTGTGTGTGTGTGTCTGTGTGTGTGTGTGTGTGTGTGTGTGTCTGTGTGTGTGTGTGTGTGTGTGTGTGTGTGTGTGTCTGTGTGTGTGTGTGTGTGTGTGTCTGTGTGTGTGTGTGTGTGTGTGTGTGTGTGTCTGTGTGTGTGTGTGTCTGTGTGTGTGTGTGTGTGTGTGTGTGTGTGTCTGTGTGTGTGTGTGTGTCTGTGTGTGTGTGTGTGTGTGTGTGTGTGTGTGTGTGTGTGTCTGTGTGTGTGTGTGTGTCTGTGTGTGTGTGTGTGTCTGTGTGTGTGTGTGTGTGTGTGTGTCTGTGTGTGTGTGTCTGTGTGTGTGTGTGTGTGTGTGCTGTGTGTGTGTGTGTGTGTGTGTGTGTGTGTGTGTGTCTGTGTGTGTGTGTGTGTGTCTGTGTGTGTGTGTGTGTGTGTGTGTCTGTGTGTGTGTGTGTGTGTCTGTGTGTGTGTGTGTGTGTGTGTGTGTGTGTGTGTGTGTGTCTGTGTGTGTGTGTCTGTGTGTGTGTGTGTGTGTGTGTGTCTGTGTGTGTGTGTCTGTGTGTGTGTGTGTCTGTGTGTGTGTGTCTGTGTGTGTGTGTGTGTGTGTGTGTGTGTGTCTGTGTGTGTGTGTGTGTGTGTGTGTGTGTGTGTCTGTGTGTGTGTGTGTCTGTGTGTGTGTGTGTGTGTGTGTGTCTGTGTGTGTGTGTGTCTGTGTGTGTGTGTGTGTGTCTGTGTGTGTGTGTGTGTCTGTGTGTGTGTGTGTGTGTGTGTGTGTGTGTGTGTGTGTCTGTGTGTGTGTGTGTGTGTGTGTCTGTGTGTGTGTGTGTGTCTGTGTGTGTGTGTGTGTGTGTGTGTGTGTCTGTGTGTGTGTGTGTGTGTGTGTGTGTCTGTGTGTGTGTGTGTCTGTGTGTGTGTGTGTCTGTGTGTGTGTGTGTGTCTGTGTGTGTGTGTCTGTCTCTGTGTGTCCAGATTTGTGTGACCGATTGTCACCAAATTTGGTACGTGGGTCGAGCCCCTGTGCCCGATGCCGCAAAAAAAGTTTGGTGATGATCTGAGGTCATTTGAGGTCACACGGGCAGTTGAAAGGTCACGCCATTATAAAGGATTGGCAATTTCTGCAATTTCTGAACCATCTGCAGCTTAAAATATTCACTCAATCATCACACAAGTTGGCACACACATAACCTGTGTACACTGGATGTTACAGGTTGAAATCGGTCAAGGTCACTTGAAGGTCAAGGTAACCAAGGTCAAATATGCTTTTTTGCTCGTAACTCTGCCAAAGATGGAGCTCGAGCATCGGGAGTGTCTCAAAATCTCAGAAAAAATATGATCTATTCATAATTCTATGCATTTGTATAGTCAAATATTAATAGTTTTCAAGATAATCACATTAGAACAGTTCCTTTCTCTTTCAGTGTAGCCGTTAAAATTCAAATTGGAACGAAAATAATTTCCATTTCTTGTTTTTCTGGTGACACACACACACTGATGTACAGTCACACAACGAACAGACACACAACTCATGAAAAATGACATTTTGGTTCCACACTAGTAAACACAGACATTCTCTCTCAGACATTCTGTGACCAATATCACACTAATGTTCATGGGCCTGTACACATACACACATTACATTGTGGATATAATGATCATGTGATATGGGCTGGGCTCCTCATAAACTGCTTCTGTGGAGATGAACTGACCCACCGACGCCTCATGGGGACCAGGTTGCTCTCTCTGATTCTGCTTGTTTTGTGTGTGTGTGTGTGTGTGTGTATGTGTGTATGTGTGTGTGTGTTCTAGTGGAAGTGTAATCCTGTGTGCTTGTCTTTTTTAGTCCTGGTTTGATCTTGGTTTAGTGCTGACATAGACTTGGTTTAGTCCTGGTTTAGTCTGAAGTTTGATGGGCTGTGTGTCGTTTGAAAAGAAATTTTGCACCACAAATGTACCTGTGACTGTGACCTGGACTCTTTCACTCCTCCTTTTGTCGTCACTCTCACACCAGTATTCTCCAGAGTCGGATGGATACAGCGCTTCAATGTGGCACGCTCCAAAAGCATCCGTGTTTTTGTTACAAGAAGTTCTTCGGTTTCTTTTCTCATCCTTCCTCAGCACCCTCCACTGGATCATGTCATTGAAGAATCCCTCACAGGTCACAGTAAGATTGGTGTATTCCAAGAACTGCAGTTGGGAAGGGACAATACGAGGGAAAGTACGCTCTGTAGAAGAACAAGATGCCATTTGACTGAGAAGAGGGTAAGACAGTGAAGCTAACTTGTGATCAAAAACTGGGCAGTTTCACTTTAAAACTCTTTGTTTTGTGGGCAGGACTTATATAACTCATTTTGGTTTCAAAGTTTCAGCTCTATCAGGGTAACTGTGAGCAGGAAACCCAAACTTCAGAAACCACTCGCCCTGAGCACGAGCTTGGCCTGTCAGTGTGTACTTAATGAATAATCATAATGCATCAGTTTTATACAGTGCTTTTTTGAACACTTAAACACACTTTACAGTTCATTATTCATTCACTCCAGACCCGCTGGTGGTAAACTACTACTGTAGCCACAGCTGCCCTGGGGCAGACTGACCAAAGCGAGGCTACCAATCTGCACCATCGGCCCCTCCGACCACCACCATCACTCACGCACACACCACCTTCATACTAGGCAATGAGGGTGAAGTGTCTTGCCTAAGGACACAACAACAGTTTTTTTACGACTGGTGTCCCCCTGTGGCTCCTGATTTTCCCAGTGTCTCCATCCAAGTACTGACCAGGCCCAGACCTGCTGAGCTTCTGAGATGTGATGGGATCAGGCTTTGACAAGCCGGTATGGTCATAAACTTCTGAAGTACTTCCTGAAGTATTCAAATCAGCTGGTGTCTGTTCTGGCAAGGAGATGTGAACTGCAATGAAGCCATAAACATCAAGGTTTTGATGCACTGTGACTCTGAACACAGATGATTACGAGGCTCAAGTAAAAAACAACCTACGACTTACTGACTGACACCTGGACGACAGAGGGATTACACAGACGTCCATGAATAGAGCTTTTATGATTAAAGTGCCTGTAAAAGGTTGGACTACGCATTTTACTAAAAACAGTTAACATCATTATATTTAAGATTTTACAAAACATTTTACACTTTCCTTCCCAGCCTGGCCATTTTTTAGGTTTCAGTGATGGTTTCCATGATGTAGAGTAGGCCAAAACTCCTCTAATGTGCACAGAGATTATTTAAAAAAAGTGTCAACCACATGTTTTACATGTATGTAAAACAGTAGGGCTAGAGGACACTATATGTTTTTTAAACTTCATGCTGCTCCTTTTGATCACTAGGTCCCAAATATGTACATGGCTCTGGTCAAGTGGTAATGGAGGGAAACAGGGGCAGATTTTTGACATTCAAATGTCTCTTATTCAGAAACTAGAGGGACTATTGAAATAAGTAAAGTATCAGAATGTAGGAAAGAGTTACACTCCAACAGGGTCAAGTTAAACCTGTGATATTCTTTCAAGTTGTTGACAAAAAATGTAAAAACTCATGTCGGTAACGGAGGGAATGAAATATGCAGCACTTTTTGGGCAATAAATCCAAACAGTGATAACTCTTGGTTCTCACTTCCATATCCTTAACAAACTGGTTTGAATATTTGCTTCATATAGTTTTCTACCATATGGTACAAGATTAGGTTGAAAAACCTCTTACTTTTTGACTCATGAGATTTTTTATTAAGAAAGGTCATGGTAACGGAGGGAAAATTGTACAAACAAGTAGAAGGTGCAGGATTTTACATCATTTGTCACTTTTTTCTTCCGAATACTTTAATATTACTTCAAAATGAAAGGAAACTATTTCTATAAAATATGTCAGTCCTTCCAAGCAAATTTTTATCATTTTAAATACATTTTTTTGGAAAAATATTTCCCTTCATCAACAGTTCAAAGATGGAATAACACAAGATATGATGAAATACATCCATTTATTTACATGATTTTCAGGTCTTTGAAATTTGGGAAATAATTTTTGTTCCATGTTTCATACATGGTCTGTTTAAAACATATGGAACTTTAGAACCAAAAATGGTACAGAAAAAAGGTCAACAGTTTCATCAAACTCGAGTACATATGTATCTGTTCAATACATTTTTATACCAGATGCATTAACTTGAATTTTCGGCCTTGATGTTTACTTCTGCTTGACCCACATATCCTTGTTTTTGTTATTGATTTTCTTGTACCTTGCTCAAACAAATAAAATGTTTTTGTTTTGTTTTTTTAATGGAAAATTTTCTGATTATTTGACAAGTAAAAATATAACAAAACACCTTTATTTTGTTGAAATCATGTTTAAAGTATCAGTGTTTTGTAAGTATAACTTGAGCCTACATTTTGGACAGAATTCTCTCAGTGTGATGACATCAACATAGAACTCTAAAATAGATCTCTACTTACAGTCATTTTCAACATATTTTTCAACTTTTCTTAACAAACTGCTTCTCAGTTGGTGTAAAACTATCATTTATATTTACAACAGGTATAATAGCACCAAATTAATTAGACATTAAAGAATTCATACACCCTTCAAGGGCTGATATGGGTGATATGGCCAAAAAATTAAATCTAAATTTTTTTTGTGAACACTGGACGACTCCGATTTTAAATGATTTTAATCCAAGTCTCATATTTAGGAACTGCTCGTCTTTCAAACAGGGGAAGCTCTTTCTCTCTTCAGTCTTATTATAGACTAGAGATTTTAACTGCCTTTGATAACATTTGTATAGATATCTCACTGTAACTGCATAATATTACTTTTCAAGTAAGAAATTCAGAAGTAAACCTGTGTCATAATAATCCTCGATTTCACTGTTTTGCAATTTTTCAAAATCTCAATTATTACTAACCCAAATGAATTAGATTAAATCCCCAGCCCAACCTCAAAGACATTTCTAATAACATCCTGAGTCTCTACCCAACACATCTGTCAGTATCATCAATAAATATCTTGTTTGTATAACATTGTTGTGCCGTGGTTGTTGCAAGTGAAATAACACTGAAGAACCAAGAGACAGCACCAGAAACTACACACACGGAAATACAAAACTCTTATTCTCTTATTATTTTGTGAGTTTGAGTCTTACCTGATGCTTTCGAGAGGCAGTTGAGAACGGTCAACATCAGCACCAGCACATTCATCACTGCACAGATCATTTATAGATTTAATTCATTTTAAGTGTTAATTCATATATTTTTTAATGAATTGTAAGTGTAGACTCACTGAGAGAGATGGAGGAAGCTGACAGGTCTGTGTCGTCTCTCACTCTGCCCTGAGATGTGGTTTCCTTTTTACATTTTTGTTTTTAGTGCTTGACTGTTTTTGGATTCAGACAGACAGACTCACCTCAGCAACAATTACAAGACAGTGCAAGCAAACTTCATAATAAATAAGAATATAATAGAAGATAATAGAATAGAAGACTGCAGCTGATCTCAGTGGAGAAGTTGGTAATTGTTGGTAATTGTAACCTTAACACCAGGGGCAAGGCCATTTCCAGCAATGTACCAAAACTGACTTTATTGTGTCTTATAATAATAATAATAATAATAATAATAATAATAATAATAATAATAATACATTTTTTTCAGCACTTTTCTGGACACTCAAAGACACTTTACAGATCATTATTCATTCACTCCATCCACAGTAAACTACTATTATAGCTGCAGCTGCCCCAAACTACAGCCCAGGGGCCGTATGCGGCTCTTTAAACCTTTTAATCCGGCCTGCCAAACTTGAATAAATAACAATAATTTTTAAACCTTGTTGATGTTTTATTTTTCCTGCATTTCCGGCGTTTCCCAGTAGATGGCGCACTATATATACATTGATGTGCGGCGTATGTTGGCCGCAATGCTTTATGGGAAAGTGACAGGAGTCATTTTCGGGTAGTGTATTCGGACCATGAGTGAGGTCGAAGTGTTGAAGACATAAGACTGCACTGTTTTCATTTGAAGTGGAATTAATGTGAAACTGAAATAATCACATACATTGACACATATAAATGTCGTAAATGTGAAGGTGTAGCACATATGTAAATGTTTACAAGTGTAACTTTAGGGTTAGTAGAATGTTGCTTAAACAGATTTAAGTGTGTAGGACTCAGGTTGTCTATGGCGTGCAGTGAAGTAGACCTCACCTTACATGTATTCTGGAACCTATGTGTCCAGACATTGCAGTGCATAGTGCAGGATACGTCCTACGTGAGCGCAAATGCAAGTGCAATAGAACCTGGCTTGTAACAGTCATGTCCTGTCTCCTGTCTGGCCCTTCAGTCAAATTTTAGAACCCTATGTGGCCCCTGAGCCAAAAAGTTTGCCCACCCCTGTACTAAATACATTTGCAGGTTTCATCAAATGCAGTTGGTTGAACAAATGCATAATTCTTAGTATGTTTTTCACCTTTGAATAAAATCATAACATGGTCAGTTTAAAGATCTTTCAGTGTGTGGTGGTCTCAAATAGTTTTAGATGCTCCTACCTGATTTATTTGATGTGTGTAAAAGTTCATTATTAAAGTGTTGCACAGATCATTTAAACATTAGGTTTTAAACATTAAGATTTTCAGACATTTTTCTAAAGATGAAATTGGAATAGTAGACTGACACAGAGATGGAGGAAGTTGTCACGTGCACGTTGTCTTGCTCTACCTAAGATGCACTTCTGTGTTTATTTTAAGTTCTGAGAGCACACTGACAAACACCATTACATTAAATACAACCTTGAAGTAGATATCTAAACTAGTGTATTAGATATGTGTGAGTATTATAGCTTGAAGTTAAAATGGGAGGGACAAAGATTAGTAAGTAAGTCTTTATTTATATAGCGCTTTCACAGACATTTCTGTCCCCAAAGACGCTTTACAGAGCATTATTCATTCACTCTATACCTGGTGATGGTAAACTACTATTACTACTACTCAGCACCAGACTGACTGATGCTCGCTGTGGCTGTAGCTGTGAATGTTTTAATGTAAACATGCAGAGAACACTGTTATTTGCTAATCAGCCCTTGGATATCGTTACATCTGATGTTGCCAACTGTCTCCACTATGTTATCTAACATATTGGTGCAGTTTCCCGTTCAAAGGAGGTTTTTCTACACAACATTACACAGCAGCGTTCAGTTCCCAAATTCAAGACATTTTTACAATAAATTTGAAAGAACCCACCTGTTGGTCGCTGTTGTAGCACCTTGTTTTGCCATTACTCTGTTTTTACCCTCTGCTATAAACTTAAACATGCACAGTCTTGATCTCGATCGATGTTTCTTCTGCTCCATAAATAATGTCTGTGAAGTGATGATGTATTTTTGACAGTAAAATTCCGTCTGTGAATTCGTATTCGTACTGATGAAAGCGGAATCATAAATTTTCATTTCATGATTGTAATTCTTGATGTCGTAATTTTTCAATTTGTATTCTGATGGATAAAACACACACAATCTATTTTATGTACGACTGGACTCATTGGAGAGTTTACAAATATTTATTTTATGTGTATAGACAAATATGCACAGATTTACCAAATACGCATGGATTTCTATTCTATGCACACAAATATTTTTGAAAGCTTTCTTACTCCATACGGTCCTTTCTCCTGCGGTCACCTCCGAGCCCGTCCTATTTTAGTCCTAGTTCAGCTCTGGTTTAGTCCTGGTTTAGTTCTGCTTTAGTTCTGGTTTAGTCCTGGTTCAGTCCATATAAGTTCAAGTTCAGCACAAAAGTTCAGCATCTTCGCAGTTATTTTGGTGAGAGTAACTTTAAGTGCTGCAATAGTAATGTAATGTCTTACATTTTAAATACAGTAATATTGTAATGTAATGAATTACTATGAAATGACAGTAATAAGTAATAAATAACACATTACAGTTTTAAAGTAACTTTCCCAACAGTGTAAATAAATAACCAGAGTCACATAACAAAAGGGTGGGGCTTAAAGGGTTGTGGTTTGTGATCTGTAAAAATTGCAGCTACTCTTCATCAGAGGAAAAACACTGTATGAAATCAAAGGTATGTTGTGTTTGTGTTGATCATTTATTTGTTTCAGAGATGAGCCTGTGAAGCTTCTTTTACAAAACTGTCAAATGAAAAATAAATCATGTTACTGATACAGAGGTAAGTTAATAAGTAAATAGGTTTATGGCGTTTCCTTATGGTTTCATTTTTGGCCAGCACAGATCCAGGAAATCTTATGTATTAACATAGCTGGGACACAGTGTTAAATGATTATTTTATTTTATTATTATTATTATTATTATTTTAAGTTCTGGTTATGTGCAAGCTATGATGTGCCAAATGTTTGAATAATGTTAACAATAATCATACTATTTGTCTTTTAAGTGCACATGTATTTAGTATTTATTTAACTGTGTTGTTCCCAGGTTTTCTGTGACTATGTCTCAGCCTCTGTCCTCTGCCCTACTACTATCACTACTACTATTACTACTACTACTACTACTGATTCCTCCGTGTCAAAGTAAGTGCTGGTTTTAATAGACATTAAGCGAACAGTGGTCAGAAAGTGTAGGAAAAGTTTCTGTGTGTGGGTCAGTCATTCACAAATGTCACAAATTCACAAAATAAAATGTATAATCCATATTTTCAGTAGAAGAAAACTATAAGGCTGCTTTACATTTACAATGACTGTTATGTTTATCAGTCAGTGCTGTAACTCCTTTGTCTTGGATATGTAAATTATTATTATTATGATGAGCTTTGTGTGATTTTATAATGCATGTACAAGAAGCATGAATATATGAGGATTACTTCATCCCAGTCCCACTCTCAAATGTGAAACACTGACATACACTTTGAGGACACTCTGTCTTCATGCAGTTTGTTTTTCTATAAGTGAAAAATGATCCTAGAACCGACAAATATCACCATAGTCATCATCGTCACCTCAAACACTACCCCAAGCATCACAGGATTGATTGCCACTACAGCCAGCGCGTCCTACCGTTGTTGTGTCCTTCAGCAGGACACTTCACCCACCCTTCCTGTGAGCATGTGCTGTGAAATGTGCTGTGAGCTCAGAACTGTCACCAGGAATGAACAAATGATTATTATTATTATAGGACAATGACAAAATATAGAAACTAGAGCAGATGACAGTGAAATGTTTTGGAAACATTGTACACACATTGTAGATGCAGAAGACATTTGATTATTAGAAGAGAATGATTGAATTTTGGATTTTTCCAGAATGATAATCATTGTATCCGACTCTTTAGGTGAGTACGTGATGGTCGCTCCCTCTCAGCCAATCATAGTGTCCGTTGGCAGTGATGTCACTCTGCCCTGTCAGTTGGAGCCTGTTAAAGACCTCAGGAACATGGTGGTGGAGTGGGCACGACACGACCTGACTCCACGCTACGTCCACATCCGCCGCGACGGTCTGGACTTCCTCTTGGACCAGAACTCCCTGTACCTGGGCCGCACGTCTCTGTCTGAGAGGCGTCTGCAGCAGGGGGACATGTCCCTGAGTCTGACCCGAGTCAGGCCCAGTGATGTGGGCACGTACACCTGCTACATGCCCCAGACAGACACTGAAGTGGAGGTCACTCTGCTGGTCGGTGAGTGACTCAAATGCAGTAATATAACAGACTAAATAAGCTCCGACTAGAATGGCACACAACTCTTGAACCAAATATTTGTTTAGTCTGGTCAGACTGCACTGGTCGGTTTGGTGGTGGGAAAAGTAACTGTAACTGGCAGTAATGAGAGCTGCATCTTTGAACTGAATGAACCAAAATGAACAGTGAGTTCAGATGAACAGATTCATGAAAAGAACATTAGCTCTGTTCATGGGTTTTGCTGTTTTTGTCTTCTCCTCTCAGTCTCTCTTCTCACTTTTCTTGCTCTCTGCTCTTTGCCTGTTCCTCTGTCCCCAGTGTCCGTGGCTCCTCCCTCTGTGAGTCTGACCAAAGAGCGCTCGGGGTCTCCTGTGCTGAGGTGTGAGTCCAGGGGCTGGTACCCGGGGCCGGAGCTGGAGTGGCTGGACTCAGAGGGGACGGTTCTGCTCAGGACTGAGGCTCAGAGAGGAGAGAGTGACGAGCTGTTCACTGTGAGCAGCAGACTGAGTGTGGAGCAGAGGCTCGGAAACACGTTCACCTGCAGAGTGAAGCAGCAGGAGAGCGGCCAGAGCAGAGAGGCCCAGCTCAGCATCGCAGGTCAGGACACAGACAATCCTCTGCTCCATTCAGTGATGTCTGTGTGAGGTCGATGGTTCATGGCTTCTCTCAAATCTTAATGCTCTTCTTGAATGTTCACTGTGATCATGGCTCTACTGTTAAAAAACACATAATCACAATTCTAACCTCAGTTTCAGTGCATGTCAGAGACAAATTGCAGTTAGTTATTTTTCACCAATAGTTCAGTTCTAGTTTACAATACTGCATTAGTCTGTGAAACAGTGTCCTGAGACATGAATATCGTTGTGTTTAGATGAATTCCTGGAGGCCTGTTCCTCCTGCTCTGTGGCCTGGGTCCTCTTTGGTTTGGTGCTGTGTCTCACTGCTGCTGCTGCTGCTTTTGCCGTGTGGAAATTTAAGATCAACAGTAAGTTTAGATTTAACATTTTATAAATGAATATTCCTGTTCCTCTTAAATGACACTGACACTGATCTGAACCCCTCAACATGACACTAAATGTATTCATTGATTTCAGAATACAGGGCATTTGACATATTGTCTTGTCTTTTGAGTCTTAAATAAAACTACAGCAATTGAATAATTTTCTTAAGGATCAGTAATAAGATTCTAAAATGTATGTAAATATATGGACTTTCCCCACAGAAACCAAGATGATACAGAACCAACATAAAGATTGTGAAGAAGCTGTGGAGATGCTGAAACCAGAAGATCATAAAGAAACTGTGCAAGTGCTGAGATCTGAAGAGAAAAAACACAGTGGAGACGACAAACTGACTGAATACCAGGAGCATTTAGAGAAGATCAAAGAAGAGTTAAATTCTGTTGAAGAGTTCAGTGAAGAGCTAACAGGGACAAAGGACTTTCTAATGAAGCTCAAAGACAAAATAAATCAACATATTTACCAACTCAGGACTGACATTACGAAGAAGGAGAATACAAAATTTGAGAAAGACAAAAAAGATACAATTCAGAAAATGAAGAAAAAAATGGGAGAGTTTGAAGGCATCATTAAGGACCTTGACTCAGAAATGTGTAAAATTGATAAGCTCCTTCGGAAAACCATTGAGAAGAAAGGGAAGCTGGAGGGAGACGTAAAGCATTTCACAAAACTGGAGGCAATAGAAAAGAAGAAAGAGAAGAAGAAAGAGGAAATCAGGACTCAGGCTCATGGTGACAAACCCGATGAGGGGGATAATATAAACCACAATTCTCAAAGAGCAGTAAACCCTCAGAATCAGACAGAGGTGATGCAGCTGCAGGAGACAGAAGCAGGAAGAACAGGATCCACAAACACAGATGAACAGGACACTTCTGCCAGTTCTATGAGAGCAGAGAAATGTGACCTGTCAAACTAAACAACAAAAAGTAAAAAACAAACAAAAAAATTGAAATATCTTTTTTTCTTTTGATGACTGAAGAGATTTGTCATTTGAACACAAGTTCCTTCAGCCACTTCCTACGATGTTGACAGGGGAACACTGACTCCAGCTGCTGTCCAGGCAAGAGTAAGTGAATAATAATTATAATAAAAATAATAATGCAAAAGTCTTATAAATCATTTTTCCACAAGCTCAGAGTTGATTTACAGTTTTGTGGATTGTTCAGGACACACTGAGTGGTGGTAAGATACTGTTGTTGCCACAGCTGCCCTGGGGCAGACTGAGGCTGCCAGTCGGCTCCTTGGACCACCACCTGCACCAACACACATCACATTCATACTAGATAAGTGTCTTGCCTAAGGACACAGCAGCATTTTGCCACTGTTGTCCCTCTGTATATTGTCCCATCCAAATACTAACCAGCCCTGCTTCACTTGTGACATGTGAGGAGATCAGACTTTGACAAGAATGTTTGACTATATCCTTTATTATCATTAACAACAAGAAATAAACATTCTATTTACTAAAATACAGGTTTGAAAAAAGTTATGTATGAAAATGATATTTATCTTTAGGCTTAACCACAGTTCTTAAACTCCTCTTTGACAAAGTTCACTGTATTGAGCACCAAGAACCTGGAGCCACAAACCCTCGACTCACTGTGACTCACTGTCCACCTCTAATCTAACTGATGGAATATGAATGTACATGTACATGTATGAACTGTTAACTTCTGACATCTGACATCAGGCTCTGACAAGAATGTTTGACTAAATCCTTTATTAGATTTAACAACAAGAAATATAAATTCTAGCTGAAATACAGAAACGTATTAAAAAAAAACAAAAAAAAAAAACGTTTGTCCAGTTGACAAGTGAATTTCTCTTATATATATATATATATATATATATATATATATATATATATATAAAAAAAATGTGTTTCTCACCTTCCACGGTGGTAGGTCTCTCTCACCCTCATTGAGCTCGGGTCCTCTACCAGAGGCCTGGGAGCTTGAGAGTTCTGCGCAGTATCTTTGCTGTTCCCAGTACTGCACTTTTCTGGACTGAGATGTCCATTGTTTTTTCCCGGTATCTGTTGAAGCCACTCTTCCAGTTTGGGGGTTACAGCCCTGAGTGTCCGATCACCACAGGCACCACTGATGCCTTCACTTTCCAGGCTCTCTCCAGCTCTTCCTTGAGCCCTGGTATTTCTCTAGCTTCTCGTGTTCCTTTTTCCTGATATTACCATCGCTTGTATTGCGATGTCAACCACCACGCTCTGCTCTGTTTCTTATCCACCACCACTATGTCTGGTTGGTTCGCCATCACCCATTCTGTCAGTCTGTATCTGGAAGTCCCACAGGATCTTGGCTCGGTCATTCTCCACAACCTTTGGAGGTGTTTCCCACCTTGATCCTGGGGTTTCCAGCCCGTACTCTGCACAGATGTTTCTGTACACTATGCCCGCCACTTGGTTATGTTGCTCCATGTATGCTTTCCCTGCCAGCATCTTACACCCCGCAGTTATGTGCTGGACTGTCTCAGGAGCCTCTTTGCACAGTCTACACCGTGGGTCTTGTCTGGTGTGGTAGATCTGGGCCTCTATTGCTCGAGTGCCCAGGGCCTGTTCCTGAGCAGCCAGGATCAGTGCCTCTGTGCTGTCCTTCAGACCAGCCCTCTCAAGCCATTGGTAGGATTTCTTGATATCAGCCACTTCAGTTATGTTCCGGTGGTACGCCCCATGTAGGGGTTTGTCCTGCCATGATGGTCCCTCCAGCACCTCTTCCTCTGGACCCCACTGTCTGAGACCTTCTCTGAGCTCCTCATCTGTCGGGGCCTTGTCCTTGATGTTCTCAAGGAGCTTGGATGTTTCATCCTGGACAGTGGTTCCCACACTCACTAGTCCTCGGCCCCCTTCCTTCCGGCCTGCGTACAGTCTCAGGGTGCTGGATTTGGGATGGAACCCTCCATGCATGGTCAGGAGCTTTCGTGTCTTAACATCTGTGGTCTGTATCTCCTCCTTTGGCCAGCTTACAATCCCTGCAGGGTATCTGATCACTGGCAGGGCGTAACTGTTGATTGCCTGCACCTTGTTCTTGCCATTGAGCTGGCTTCTAAGGACTTGCCTCACTCTTTGCAGGTATTTGGCCGTAGCCGCTTTCCTTGTTGCCTCTTCGAGGTTGCCACTTGCTTGTGGGATACCAAGGTACTTGTAACTGTCCTCAACGTCTGCTATTGTTCCCTCTGGGAGTGACACCCCCTCTGTGTGGACTACCTTCCCTCTCTTTGTCACCATCCTGCTACATTTCTCAAGCCCGAAATGACATCCCAATGTCTGTACTGTAGATCCTTGTGGTGTGGATCAGTGAGTCGATGTCTCGCTCACTCTTAGCGTACAGCTTGATGTCATCCATGTAGAGGAGGTGACTGATGTATATATATATATATATATATATATATATATATATATATATATATATATATATATATATATATATATATATATAATATATATATATATATATATATATATATATATATATATCACACACACACACACACACACACATATATAATATATATATATATATATATATATATATATATGTATAACAGCTACGCCCTGCCAGTGATCAGATACCCTGCAGGATTGTAACTGGCCAAAGGAGGAGATACAGACCACAGATGTTAAGACACGAAAGCTCCTGACCATGCATGGAGGATTCCATCCCAAATCCAGCACCCTGAGACTGTACGCAGGCCGGAAGGAAGGGGGCCGAGGACTAGTGAGTGTGGGAACCACTGTCCAGGATGAAACATCCAAGCTCCTTGAGAACATCAAGGACAAGGCCCCGACAGATGAGGAGCTCAGAGAAGGTCTCAGACAGTGGGGTCCAGAGGAAGAGGTGCTGGAGGGACCATCATGGCAGGACAAGCCCCTACATGGGCGGACCACCGGAAACAGAACTGAAGTGGCTGATATCAAGAATCCTACCAATGATTGAGAGGGCTGGTCTGAAGGACACACAGAGGCACTGATCCTGGCTGCTCAGGAACAGGCCCTGGCACTCGAGCAATAGAGGCCCAGATCTACCACCAGACAAGAGCCACGGTGAGACTGTGCAAAGAGGCTCCTGAGACGTCCAGCACAGAACTGCAGGTTAAGATGCTGCAGGAAACAAACATGGAGCGACATAACCAAGTGGTGGGCCTAGTGTACAGAAACATCTGGCAGAGTACAGGCTGGAACCCAGGATCAAGGTGGAACACCTTCAAAGGTTGTGGAGAATGACCGAGCCAAGATCCCTGAGGGACTTCCAGATACAGATGACAGGATGGTGATGAACCAACCAGACACAGTGGTGGTGGATAAGAAACAGAGCAGAGCCCGTGTGGTGGACATCACAATACAAGTGATGGTAATATCAGGAAAAAGGAACATGAGAAGCTAGAGAAAACCAAGAGGCTCAAGGAGGAGCTGGAGAAAGCATCGAACGTGAAGACATCAGTGGTGCCTGTGGTGATCAGACACTCAGGCTGTAACCTCCAAATGAAGAGGCTACAACAGATACCGGGAAAAACAACGGACAACTCAGTCCAGAAAAGTGCAGGACAGGAACAAAGATACTGCGCAGAACTGTCAACTCCCAGGCCTCTGTAGAGAACCCGAGCTGAATGAGAGGGAGAGACCAACCACCGTGGAAGGTGAGAAACACACATATATATAATATATAATATATATATATTATTAGATACTAACTATGAATGTACATGACTGATTTTATGAACTGTTATGTTTGTTTTTATTGTCTTGAAGATTTTGACGATGAGAATCATTTATTGATATTTGCTTTTTTACTGTAGTTACTTTCATTTTTTACAATAACTATCAGTTTTAAGTTTTGGTGTTTGCTATTATTTCATTCACTACATTTAAATAAAGTATACACTTTTTAAAATGAAAAACTAAAAAGTATTTATTGATATTTGAAATATTTAGCTACTTGTTGAAAAAGTGTTTAAGTGTGCCATCTGCTGTTGAAAAGCAGCAACACACCTAAATACTGGTTGAGCTCAAACCTGGACTGCTGTGAAGACAGAATGTTAACCACTCTGCCAATGCCTGGTTTATTTGAACAAAAATGTTGATAGCTCTAAGAGTCTCTGCACCATCTTAATTTTACAGACAGACTTTTGTTGTTCTGGAAAACACTGAAACTGAACACAACCAGGCCAATACAAAAGAAAAGTTCACATCTGTCAACTGGAAAAAAGGTTTTTGAGCTGCAAAACCTTTTCACTCAAAAACTTTGGTCCAGTTGACAGAATTTATTTATTTCTTCTACTTGGACGACGAAACTTAGTGCTCTGCCTCTCAGGTCCCAGTCTGACAGGAAGTACATTTATAATAATCGGCCAGCCTTCATTAGAGTCGTATTAAAGGGCCCATATCACTCTATTTTCTGATCTATGTTATAATCAGTGTTGGGAAGGTGACTTTTAAAATGTATTCCCCTACAGATTACAGATTACACACCCCAGAATGTAGTTTGTAACGGAATCCATTAAATGACTTTAGGTGAGTAACATAATCTGAATACTTTGGATTACTTGATTTTCTGTAGAAAAGCAAAGACGACGATACCGTAACATAAGAAGTTTTATCTGTTAAAAGAAAATGAAAAGCCCAGACTTTACTTAAACAAATTTAAAATATTATTGATAGAAGACGAGGAGACACGTCCACCCAGCATGATTGAGTCCTGTTAAATCCTGGTTTAGACCTGTTTTAGCCCTGGTTTTAGTCCTGCTTTAGTCCTAGTTTAGACCTGGTTTAGACGTGGTTTTAGTCCTGGTTTAGTCCTAGTTTAGTCCTGTTTTAGACCTGGTTTAGACCTGGTTTAGACCTGGTTTAGACCTGTTTAACCTGGTTTAGTGTCCGGCAATGAGTGGATTACCGGGGGGGGGGGGTTGTTTCTTCACACATGTTTAACACTCAGATCCTGCATATTTCAGCTGTGTTCTTCTCTCAAACTGAACACACTATGTTCCACCTCGTGATGTCATATGGTTATACAGGAAGTGCTCCACTGTGTTTTTAAACTCCATACACCTTCACTAGAATCATTTGGATAATTTCAGATCTGGAATTGCCAGACTCTAATGAACAAAAGGTAAAGATAGCTGTTGGCTTGAAAACTACTGCTTGATGACATCACAAGGTGGAACAAAGCAAATATGTAGACAGATTGATAATAAACGGTCACTCAAACATGCGTGGATGAAACAAAACACAAGTCCGGGTCTGTTTTTGAGGAGGTGACATTCTAACATGGTTAAACGCTCACATGAGTCAATTTTGTGCCGTACAGGTTATTTATCATATTCTTTTCTTTAGTACAAACAGCAAATGTTATATGTCTGTGTGACAGATTAAAAAAAGTGAGTCAATGATTTAAAATATTGTTAAAAACATGATTCTGTTAGATTTAAAAGATAATTAATCTTGTACATAAAGTATAAATATTAAAGATTGTACAATTACATATTTACAAGTGTCATTTC